ACGACACCGAGGGCCACGACGATGGCATCCGGTTGAAGGATCAGGCTCGTTGGAGACGCTACGCCGAGCACTCGCTCTACACCCTTTTCCACTACAAGCAGAACGAGCCCGCCGACGGCCGCGCCGAAAGAATCCAGTGGGCCGACTACTACCGCATGAACCGCAAGTTCGCCAACAAGATTCTCGAAAACTACAAGCCCGGCGACATGGTCATTGTACACGACTACAACCTAATGCTTTTGCCTAGCATGCTGCGCCAGCGCGCTCCCCAGATGTACATTGCCTTCTACCTGCACTCGCCCTTCCCCAGTTCTGAATTCCTCCGCTGCCTTCCCAGGAGAAAGGAAATCCTGGAGGGTGTGTTGGGATCGAACTTGGTCGGCTTCCAGAGCTACAGCTACTCCCGTCACTTCTCCAGCTGCTGCACACGCGTCCTTGGCTTCCCCTCCGATACCACCGGAGTGGAGGCCTACGGTGCTCGTGTCGAGGTCGGCGTCTTCCCCATTGGTATCGACGCTATCAAGGTTGCTGCCGCTGCGTGGACGCCGTCCGCCACGGCAAAGTACGAGGCGCTCAAGCAGATCTACGGTGACAAGAAGCTTATTGTCGGCCGTGACAAGTTGGATAGTGTGCGTGGTGTTGCCCAGAAGCTCATGGCTTTTGAGCGCTTCCTCGAGCTCTACCCCGAGTGGAGGGAAAAGGTCGTTCTCATCCAGGTCACCTCGCCCACTAACATTGAGGAGGAAAAGGAGGATGCCGAGAACAAAATCTCCAGCCGCGTAAACGAGCTTGTCATGAAGATCAACGGCATGTACGGCTCGCTTAGCTTCTCTCCCGTGCAGCACTACCCGCAGTACATCTCGCAGGATGAGTACTTTGCTCTCCTCCGTGCTGCCGACATCGGTCTCATCACTTCGGTCAGAGACGGCATGAACACGACTTCCATGGAGTACATCATCTGCCAGCGTGAGAATGCTGGTCCTCTCATTCTCTCCGAGTTCAGCGGTACTGCTGGCTCTCTGAAGGATGCCATCCACATCAACCCCTGGGATCTTACCGATGTCGCCAAGCAGATTCACAATGCCCTCTCCATGTCGGAGGAGCGCCGCCAGAGTATCCAGAAGAGCTTGCTCGAACACGTCACCAACAAGAACGTCCAGTTCTGGACTGCCGGTCTCCTGCGTCGCCTGGTTAGCGTTCTCGCCAACAGGAGAGATGTTATTGCCACTCCCCTGCTTGACCGCGCCATCATGCTTAAGAAGTACCAGATGGCTAAGAAGCGTCTCTTCATGTTCGACTACGACGGCACCCTCACACCTATCGTTAGGGAACCTAGTGCCGCCGTTCCGTCAGAGCGCCTTTTGAATAGCATCAAGTGTCTGGCGGCCGATCCCCGAAACGCCGTCTGGATTATTTCCGGTCGTGACCAGGAGTTCCTTCAGCAGCACCTTGGCCACATTCCCGAGTTGGGCTTCAGCGCGGAGCATGGTAGCTTCATGCGCCACCCGGGCTCTACGGAGTGGGAGAACCTTGCCGAGAAGTTCGATATGGGCTGGCAGGCTGAGGTTTTGGAGGTCTTCCAGAAGTACACCGACAAGACACCAGGTTAGTTTTCCATGATTCTCGCTTACTAAAACATCAGCTAACATGGCGACAAATAGGCTCCTTCATTGAACGCAAGCGTTGCGCCCTCACCTGGCATTACCGCCTCGCCGACCCCGAGCAGGGTATCCACATGGCTCGCGACTGCCAGAAGGAGCTCGAGACTACCGTCGGTCGCAAGTGGGACGTCGAGGTTATGGCTGGCAAGGCCAACCTTGAGGTGCGTCCCACGTTCATCAATAAGGGCGAGATCGCGAAACGCCTCGTCACTGAGTACAACGCCGAGCTCAAGGCTCTCGCTGCCTCGCATACTGGTTCGCCAGAGGAGGTGGCTGTCGAGAAGCTCGAGTTTGTGCTCTGCATGGGTGATGATTTCACCGACGAGGACATGTTCCGCAGCCTGAACGTGCTGTCCACCTCTGGCGAGGACGCGGAGGTCAAGCCCGAGAACTGCTTCACCGTTACGGTGGGCGCCAGCACCAAGATTACCCTGGCTAGGTGGCACTTGCTCGAGCCCGAGGATGTGATTGAGTGCGTGGCCCTCCTCGCTGGCGTTGGTAGTGCTGGCGCTGGCGCGAGTGGCGGCGTGCTCTCCATGGGAGAGGTCAACCTTGCGGCTTTGAGCGCGGTGGAGGATCATATCCCTGAGAGCCAGAAGTAAGGAGTGTGCCAAAAGCAAGCAGTAAAAGGGACAAGAAAAGAAAAGTCATGGAATGGAAAAGCCGTGTTTGGGATGGGATCTGGGAGCGATGTTAGATCTGTTGTTTCGATCACCAGTGGCTAGCTGGGCTGGGCTGGGATTGTTTTCATTATGTTCGTTTTGTTGATACTTTCCGAGGCCAGGCCTGACTGATATAGGCCGGTAATATCTGTATCTGGTTCCGCGCGTTGCATTCTCGATGTTGAGCGATGATGTTGAAGAGCATAGATAAACATGATGTTTGTTATAGGTAGACGGGGATTGATTGGCTCATGAGGTAACCGGAGTAGGAATCAACAAGTTTTTCTGGTTGTGGCAATTCATAAGTACGTGTGTTTCATATGGATGAGCATGATGAAAAATCTTTTTACAGACTGCCGTCCTAATTTTAGTGGTCGTCATTCTGTTGTGCGCTCAAGCATTTGGATTTGTCATAACAGACACCCGGATTTGAGCCAATGTGGATTTCAACTTGTGAGGTTATTCCCATGTCTTGGCATCCCACAGCTGGCCCGTGCGCTCGACTTCGCGTTACTTGTACACTCCTTCCCCCCGCCCGCAACACTTTATCTTGTCACAATCACAGCGACCTAGTCACATGCATAACCTCTGTTCCTCTTCGTATCATCAACTGATCCTGAGACGTTACCTGTCATGACCGCAGTGTTGATCTTCCGTCCCGTCCGTAAGCATCGGGATGATTCCGCTCCGATTTATGTTCCATACGACAAGGCCCTTCATGCGGGCGAGGAAAGCGTAATTTGTGAAATGAGTATGCATAGCGAGTATGGGAGGCGGCTGAGGTTGAAATCGAGGAGTGCTCGTAAGTACGCTACAGATAAAGCTTGGTCCAGTGTACATATCTCGGCTAAACTGAACTCCAAAGGCGTTGGTTGAAGGCTGCTAACGCAACGGCTGGTCCGTGACAGCTTCATTCCGCCGTTACACACATTCTCTCTCTCAAAGACGGGAGTTTCCGAGTAGAACACCCAATTGGTGTTGGAAGCAACCGAGAATTGAACAGCAGGGAACTTGATACTCAAAAAAGTCTGGTTCGACTGTTCTGTCGCAATTAGAGAGATGTCTTTGATGCAAGTAATACATACGGCTGGGATTGGTGACTGGGTGGGGGATGGATGTTCTGGAACCCTTCCCTTCCCGTCTTGTCTTATCTTCGTTTGCAGAAGAAGCTCAGCGGTATTTTCCGCTCAGTGCAGTGCAGGTTGAGCTCCAATCAGCTGCTTAAAACTCGTCATGGCCCGTGGAGGCCAGACTGGATGGGACTCGTGGGAGTAAGCGAGACGGAATGATAAGTTGGGACTTGGGGCTGACTGGCTGGCTGGCTGGGAATGCCCTGCCTGGGAATGCCCTCATATTAAGCTGGACGACTAAACGGCAGGAAATGAAGTGAAGTGAGTGAAATGAAGGGAAGAGAAGGGAAGGGACTTTGAGTGTGGCCTCGAGTGAGACTGTGGGAGTGGCGGATAGCCTTGGCTTTCAGTTCCATCTGCATCTGCATCTGTATCTGGTCCTTGTGATGATGGAAGTTCGAAGTTCAAAGTTCGAATGGTTGGTTTGCTGTCCAAGATAGCTGCTAAATGAGGCTACAACTGCTACAAGACGGGAGTCAGGGACGAGGATTTTCTCATCTTTGCGACGGATGGCAACGTTACAGCGCGCCGTGCTGTTCTTCGGTCGGGACCCGAGAGATACATCGGAGCTGGGCCTGATATCTTGACACGATGCCCGGCCCTTGACTGTTCTCTGGTTCACAGGAAGGGATTGGCCTGCTATCTGTCTTCTGCATTGCATGGACTTCAAGTCGATCAAGACAAGAGTAAGCTAATATGAAGCAGTTTATCCGACTCCTAAACTCCTCATGGTGTTGGTTATGACTATCTCAATCCACTCCATCTCCATCTCCATGTGTTGAGGTTTCTTTCTGTGTTGACAGGAGCCAGGCCATACACTAGGTACATACTAGTGTGTAAGTCGGCTCATGTCATCAGGTTAGAGCCTGAGACACTCGACTGAGTACAGCAGCAACTTTCTCTCAAGATAACTCATCTGGCATGTCTACAGCCCGGAATGAGAATGGATAGACATACCTGATGTCCAAGAAGTATCCAGGTTGGTGGCTGGTGCTGTCAGTTGATATATGAGGACTCTCAACCGAAAACGAGTTGAAGGACCTCAAATAGGTAGGTTCTTCTTGCGAATCCCCCCGTACCCGGAGGTATTCAGAACTCCAAAGCATTGAAGTGCTGAAGTGCTGAAGTGCTGCGGCAACAAAAGTCTGAAGCATCACGACCATGATGCAGCTTTCAGCCTCTGACTTCACCCGGATAATGACATGAAGGTAAATTCTAGATTGCTTACTCCCCGTATTCAGAGATGGGCCGCGCTCTCGTTGATACGGCAAATAAACAAACACCAAGCCACATTGGCTTGGGAGATGTCTAGAGTAACTCTGTGTACCTTTTTAGAGCTGTAGTTGATGAATGCCTTCAAGGAAGAGACCAGAACATGAAAAAGAAGAACGCGAGAAGTATAAAACCCATCCCCATCTCCTCATCCTCAGCTCTCTCGTCTCCAGTCAACCAGACAGACACAGCACACTTCCAGTCTACCATCATCACCATCAACCAAATCAACAACTTCCACAGCGCAAACAGCTCCATCATCAACACCTCTCAAAATGCAGTTCACCACCATCACCGCTCTCACCATGACCCTCGCTTTGGCTCTCCCTGCCATTGCCGCCCCGAGTGCTAACCCCGTTGCTGCCCCCGTTGAGGTCACGGATATCACTCCCCGTGGAACTATCAATGAAGCTGAAGGTAAGCCCCTCTGCCGATCCCCAATATTCATTCCCTCGTTTCTCTCTTCTTTCTTTCCCCCATCCCCATCCCCCTTCTCCGCTCCGCAACAACGCCCACACCCACTGCCCTGTCCCAGCAACCCCCATTTACCAGCCCCCTTCCCATGTCCCCGCGACCATTCCCAGTACCCATCTCCAGTACCAGCTAACTCATACGGTGTTCCTCGGACAATAGTCTTCGCCTTCACCCCCCTAGCCTCTTGCTCCATCCTCTCCTGCATCTCCGTCATTTCGCAGGCCGTCTGCATCACCGACGCCATCGAGGCTGATGATTATTCTGGCATCCTTAAGTGCGCTAAGAAGAAGGAGGTACGTTTCTCACACTCCTTCCTTTTTTTCTTACTTATTGCATGTGTGGCTTGTACTGCATCTGTACTGCATTCCACTTGGGTGTTGGATGTTGGCTGACGGTTGGATTGGTGATACCGTGATAGTTGTGCGGCTGCGCTGGTTGCTTCAAGAAGTTAAATGGTTTCTTGGAGAAGTGGGGGATCTGCTAAGGTAAGGTAGATGCATCCCGTCTTCGTTGATGCTTCTATGTACGATTGGAGAGGGAGAGGGAACTCGGAAGATGGTAGTCGGAGGGTTAGGTTGGTTGCGGATGGAGGTTGGTTGAGGTTGTTGAGAGAAAGGACTGGAAGGAGCGAGGCAGTTGGTAGTGGGAGTCGAGGGGAGGAAGTCGCGGTTGAGACGTTGAGTTCGTGGACGGGATGGTTGAGTTGAGTGATGAGGGGTGGATCTTGATTCGAACGTTTTGTGCTTGATTTTCCTTCTGTCAGATCTACCGGTAGACAACAACACACTCGTTTTAGTTTTTAACTTGAAGCTTCTTGTTCTTAAACCTACGTATCTGCCATGTAATAAGTGGATGATGTTTGACTATGCCATTAACCCGTCAAACCATGTCCCCGCCATGATGTCCTGTGAATAGGTTCCTTTCAGCCATTAATACCCTAACACCCGTCCGACAAGCCGTTAGGTCCCAAGGTACCTCTGTATCTTCCTGCAAGCTACCTCTAATCTTTCTCCTTCTTCTTCGTACTAGTCGACGAAGTCTTCGTCGAAGAACTGCTAGTCTTCGAGCTCTTGAAAGACGTGGTACTAGTTTTGAACGACGTCGTGAACCCTCCAGCCCCAGTACTAGTAGGAACGGCCGTCACAAACGTCGTCGGGATAGTTATAATTACCGTCGGCACCACCACCTGAGTCGTTGGCACCACAGTCGGCGCCACCACCACCTCACTTGTCGTCGCAGCCACACTCTTCGTCTTAGTCTTAGTCTCCCAATACTCCCCCAAAACACTCTCCACCTCATCAACCTTATCATATGGTCTATACCCCGCCATCTCCTTAACTCTCGCTTCCACAGCGCTGTCATCGAAAGCAGAGATAACCTGCTGCTTCGCCCTCCACCTTTCCTCCATCGGATCAATATAATGCGTCTCATCATACCCCAGATCTTCCAACACGCTAACATTAAACGCAGCCATCATCTCGTGATCCTCATGAATCAGATTGTGGCAATGGAACATGTACACCCCGTCCCACGGCGCGTAATACGCTTCCACCGTGACCGTCTCTCCGGGTCCAAGCCAGACGACATCTTTTAAACCCTGGGCTTCGTAAGGTAAGACTGAGCGCTTGCCGTTTACCCGCTTCTTGATGCGGAAATCAACGAGGTGGATATGGATCGGATGCGTCCATCCCCCTGAAGAATTTTCCAGTTCCCAGACTTCCACTGTCCCCCGTTTGGGTTTTGCTAAGACGCGGTTTTGGACGTCAGCGAAGGATACACCGTTGATTTTCCATTCCCCGTTGTTGCGCTCGAATTTGAAGTGTTGGTCTACTGTTGCCTTGGTGGGCGGGAAGGGGACATTCCTTAAACTGCTCGGTAAGCTCGACGGGTCGTTCACTGATGTCGAAGAAACAACAAATTTCATGACCTTGTCGGTATCAGGGTAATCTTTATCAGCCCCCACGTCCCGCGAGTTTCGCAACGTAACGTTTTCTCCCTTGTACTGCGCAAAGTCGATGATAACCTCGTACCGCTCGGCCATGGAGATGTACATTTCGTTCACCCTTTGAGGGCCCGTAAGGAGACCGGCGTCGGAGGCGATGACGTCGAAGGGGATTTTAGTACCGGTCTTGGTGTCGCGCTCGAGGTAGAGGAGGAAAGAGCGGGAGATGGAGGCGTCGAGGATGCGGAAGCGGTATTTGCGCGGTTCGACTTTGAGGTAGGGCCACGGCTGGCCGTTGACGTGGATCACGTCCCCGTAGAGAGAGGTGGTTTCGGCTGCCGGGGAGAAGAGGGAGCCGTCGGAGTTGTATTGTTTGGCGGAGAGAATTAGGGGGATGTCATACTGGCCGTAGCCGGAGGGGAGGTTGAGGCTGTCTTCTGCTGGGTCATGCAGGATGTAGGCGCCTGCTTGGCCGTAGTAGGCGTTTTCTGCGGTCTGGTCATTTGGATTAGCTTCCATTGGGAGTCATGGAATGGAGCGGTGGTAAATGGGGGAGAGATGGAGGGAGGAGGGCTTACATGATCAATGGCATGGTCATGATACCACAGTGTTCGTGCAGCTTGGCTGTTGGGATAGTAGTAGTCCTTATACCAGCCCGGAGGGGTAATGTCTTCTGCCCATCCGTCGAATGGAGCTCTCTGTGACAAGTCAGCACGAGTGTTTCGTCTCATCATATGTGAAGACGTACCGAAAAAGACCCATGAAGATGCACCGAGTTTGCCAACCTTCCATTGTTGACAAACCTCACCACACTCTCTGTTCCTCTCTCCATCATGAACGTCGGACCCGGTGAGATGCCATCGTATCCCCAAAGCGTCGCCTGACCACTATCGGGGTAGACCTGGGACTTGAACTCCTTGATCTCAACCTCATAGTAGAGGATGTTCTTTCCCGTCACGGGGTTTACGATGGTTCTAGATCAGTGTCAGTTGTGATTAACTCCATATAGGGGAGAGAAACACGTACTTTGACGGTGCCTTCACAGGAGGAATGGGCAAAGGGAACTGATATTTCCACTTGTACTGCGGACTAATCCAGTTGTCGACACCAGCAGAGACAGTGCCAACGGCCGAAAGAACAAGAAGTAGAGTCTGACTGAGGCTGAAAGTCGCCATTTTGTGTGACTGACTTCCGAAGGATGGGGAACCAAGGAGTGAAGAAAGTGGTTCTCGCCAAGGTCTTGGTTCTGCAAGGGGAAAGTCAAAAGAAGGCACAGATCTGACTCTCGGAAGTCTTTATACCTTTTAAGTCGCCTTCGGGAACTTCATCTTGACAATTGGCCTCTTCATTTCTTCGTTGTCTCTCGCAGTTTTTCCAATATCAGCTGCGGACAGAAGCTGTGCGGCGTCCATAGCTCGTATTGCCTTGTCATTATTCTAGACCTAACCAGATAGAGCCACGGTCAGGCAACAAGACGACAACACAATGGACGTCATGGTGAGCAAGCCACCCAAGGATAACATCCGAGACACTCGAAGGTAATCCCGATTTGGACAAGTCTTCCATGGTGTATCGGGCTATGCCGATCACGGGCTTCTCGGGGTTCGCTTCCATTCGATCGGGGGCTGTAATCGAGGGCTGGGGCTCATGGAGAGGTGGTCTGTCGATGGGCCAAAGAGCGCCACTGGTGCTACTGAAGTTGGCTGCCGCTGAGCATGGGACTATTGGGAAAAATCTCGGGTTGTACACCGCTTTGGGGTATATCTTTAGGCCTTGAGGTGGAAGACAGAGCGCACTGGGCGGATGGGGTAACATGGGCAGACTGCGAAGGCGTTGGATGACTTGGTTGTGTGTTGTCAGTTTGGCTTTGCCGGCTTCAAGCTTTGGGCTTTGGACGCATGTGCAATCTTTTGTCTCGTAAGCACTTGCAAAGTCACGATGAAAAAAACAGACCAAAACTTCGGCCTACGGTAAATGATAGGTGTGACGTAGACGCAGCTGAACTGCAGGCTGAACTGCACGGTGCCGGAGTGCGTATGGTAGCTGGCGAGTGAGGTTGAAGTTCTTGGCGAATGAAGGTTGTTGACTGGCTGGAGTTGAGGCCGTCACCGGTGCGGCGGCAGCCAGTCAGACACTCGAAGTCTGAACGAACTAGCGAATCCTTGCAGATCTGTAGTCATCATTTGGGACTTCGTCCAAGTCGGTCCCTGGGCCAGACCATCAAAGACCCTTTGTTACGGGATACCCAATGAGGTGTTGTGTGGCTTGTGGTGGTGATCCATTTTCGGAACTTATATCGTTTTTTGGGTGACACTGCGACTGCGCTTCTACGGTCACCGAGACAGTGGCCAGCCTTGGGTCAGGATCAAACTGCCGGCCGATTAATTGCTTTTGCAGATCATGTTAAGCTTGATTTGACTTTGATTTTCTGCGTTTTGTTGTGGTTGGTGCGCTTGTTGGTGTTGATGTGTTGTGCAGTCGCTAAGGATTTGGCAGTGAAAGAAGAGAAAATGAAAGAGAGATGGGACTCGGAGAAATGTCCAGTCCGATGCAAGCAAAAAGTTTGACGCCAGTCACCTGTCCTTTGGCCGGTGTTAACAGCTGGCAGTCGGCAAACCGCATATGCGCTTCTCGCAATTGCGCCTGCCATCCGATGGAATCACGAGTTTGGTCGGTTGAATTCCCTTTTTCGTCTTTCTCTTTTTTCAATCCTCCATTTTCGTCCATGCCCTCACACAAAATCATCCGCGCCAATTCCTGATGATCAAGTGCACACACCTTTCCAGCTTCCCGGACGAAAATCCGGGCGATGACAGATTGATAGATTCCTGAAGCCACCCATCCGTCCGAGGTTCGCCCGCCATCTCACAAACTTCCTGTCACCCTCAGCTTCATGCAAAGTGCCCCTGGAAAATTACAGCCTGGTGCCCAACACTCTTCATCGTCAGTGGTTGTGAAAACCCAGTTCTGAACGGTCTAGACTCCCATAGCTTGTCGTCATCATTCTCATTCCTTTTCCTTCCCGCATCGCCCAGTCGACCCGCGTCGATTTGTGTCCCAAATAAGCTTTCTCGGCCATCGCCATCTTTTCTCCTGCCATTCCGATTCGCCCATCAGCCCCACCTCCACATCTTTTCCACACCTCCTCCATCCCTCACCCAGACCCAAGGTAGCCCAAGCCCCAAGATGGCTCTAGGCGACCCCGAGAGACTGGATGAGATACATATCTTCAGCCCTTGCCGAAGACGCCCACCAACACTAGCCAACACTAGCTCAACGCCACAGCTTATGCTAGCTACAACTATGGGGCGGAAAGAAGCTTGAAGCAGATCCGAGTGGATGGAACTCGAGGTTTTTGCACTTTGCCCCTCCTCCAACAACATGAAAAACGAAACTAACGATGCTTGAAACGCATGATACCACCACGGCAGCTCCCAGAAAGTAGCCAGCTAAGCGAGGTGCTTAGTTGATAAGCGAATGCTCCAGTAGCATGAGGCTCTGAGCCCGAGGTGGTGGGTTTATTGAGATGGGCTGAATCTGGACATGAATGGCGTCCACGTCAGTCATGAATGAGGGACTGAGGGTTGCCGACTCAAAACAGAATCAAAAAGACCTTTTCTCCCGCACGAGTCACATGATGACCTGGCGTTCGGAGTTTCCAGCGCCCAAAGATTTGGTACATAGAGGTATGGCTTTGCCCAGCCCAAGCTTTGTGAGGCGCTTCCCAACCTGAACTTCGTGATACTCGAGCGATTAATCAATCCGAGCTACAACTGGACTCCAGTTTCAGACGTCTAGAACTCGGGTGCATCGCCTGCCGGTTGTCACTTGTCGCTTGTCGGTTCGTGTGCTGGTTGTTGGCTGCTGACCGCTGGCTGAGCAGTCATCATAACCGTCCAGACCTCCAGTTGTTCCGCCTCGCTTGCTTCCAACTCCAGCTCGTAAATGCAGCATATCGGACTTGTTTGTTCAAGTTGAACAGACACCGGATATGAGCCCGGCCTGAACTTTCTGGTACGTTATGTGATGCAAGATGCAAGGAACAACCGTCTCGTCCTCAGTCAAACCTCAATCTCTGGGTCCTTCGGTTGATGAAGACTCGCCATATAAGACACATCTATCATCACGACCCTCTGTTCCAACCCCTTCAGTGTCTGAGACTCCTGACTTAGACACACGCCCAGAGAAGCCGAAGCGTGCTTCCCGTCTGTTCCCTCAGTGCCTCTGAACTCATATCGAAGTCGAAGCCTTTAAGACAGCAACAATGCATCTACCCTTCCGCTCCTCGTTATTCCCCGGCCTTCTTCCCGGCCTTCTTTTGCTTCCATCATGTCTGTCTCAAGACGTCCCCTTTGATGTGGATGGTGGTTTGGATGAGTGAGTCGAACATTGCCGCCGAACATCCCAGCTAAACGTTTCCAACCCCTTCCCAAACCCTTCCCCAACACCTCCCCAACGCCCGACTTCCTCAACAATTCCATTGTTCCATGCCACAGACCCGTCTGAGGCCCAAATTCTTTCCGAGTGCCGAGACACACAGCACCAGCACTTGCTAACCCGCCCCTTCTGTCTCACTTTCGTTTAAACAGATGCACAATCACAGACACAACCTACAACTCAGGCGGCACCATGTCCGTCGCAGGCTGGACCATCAAAGTGCCCAAAAACACTCAAGTCGGATTTCCCGCAGCTTGGGTCCCTTGGCCAGATTTCTGCCGTGATGTAGCGTTCATGAAAGGGTTTGAAGTCACTGTAAGCCCTGCCAAACTGTCGCTTCTCACTGTTTCGAATGTGCCACTAACGCACCCTACTGCGTAATAGGTCGTCGGCAACAACATCCCAACCCACGGCCCCGTAGCAGGCCAAATCTTCATCTCCCAATTCTCCACCTCCCTCGGGCGCGGCGCCATATCATCCATTTCCTTTGACGGAACAATCCAACTCGCCAACGGGCCCAGGTTGCGCATCAACGACCCCAACGCAATCTACTCAGCAGGTTACACCTCCCACCCCTTCTGGACCGCAGACGATGAAAACCCCAGCATCTCTTCCTTCAGTGGGTTTCCGATGTGCGTTCCCCGTAATGCTTCCGACCCCTTATGCCCGGGTAGCAATCGCCCGACTTTAGGGGGCGGGAGTAAACAGGGTACTTTTACCGCGCCAGATCCAATGGTAATGGCCCCCTTCGTCGTGGGCGATTTCGTCGAATACGCCGGCGTTTTTGCCAACGGGGAAATGCTTGTGTATGAAATGGTAGCTACCAACGCGCAAATCCTCACCCCTAGCACATTTCCCCCGTTTATTCGCATGGAGGACGTCTTAATAGGAGTCTTCTCCAACAACGCCAACGCTGAGGTCGCGCAAACGCGGTTTATAGGGTACACCTCCGCCGCGTCGGGTACTTCTTCCCTAACCATCCACGCCGTGACGGGGTTCGATGTTTGCACGGGCAATATTACTACGAGACCTGTTTCCGGTGGGAGTTTGATCGCTGGTCAGGTTAGGAATAAATTCCGGACGGGGATAACGAGCGTAGCAGGGGATGTATATGCTAGGGAGTATGTGGTGATGAGTACCGCTAGTCCAGTGAGGACCAAAAACGGGATCTTAGCAGGCCAATATATCCAGCCTGTGACGGAGTGGATACAACCTGAGCTGACGACACCGGGACTACCGCCTATTCCTAACGACTTTTCAGCGATGGAACATCTTGTTAAGGGACTCGGCAAGGATGAGGACGGGCACATATGGGGACCGCTTGATCCGTTCCCGCAGAGTGGTGTGACGTTGGGGGTGCCGGTCGTGCAGGACTGTCCCCCGCCCCCAGAACCATCACCGACGACCCCCCGTGACGCCGCCGGGTGATGACCCAACCAACCCACAACCACCACCAGTCACCACCACGGTACTGCCTCCCCCTCCCGCAACAACAACAACCTCAGCAACCCCCACCCCCACCAAGGACACCGTCAAAGTCGTTTCCGCACAATGGATCAGCAGCGGATCAGGTACCCTAACAGTAACTTGCACCTCCTCCAACACCAATAACACCTTGGTAGGCATGCTCCTCGACACACCCGTACAGATAGGGCTGGTGATGACTGGATCTACGACAAACCCGGGGACATGGACTTTCAGTAGTGTCAAGATTAAGCAGGTTACGACGGTGACTTGTAGGAGTAAACTGGGGGGAAGTGCGGTGGGGGCTGTGGCTGGGAAGAAGAGAGGACTCGGACTCTCAGATCAGGGTGGGGTTGGGGTTGGGGTTGGTGAGAGGGGTGAAGGTGGGAGGAAGTTTGGGAAGAGGGGGTTAGTGAGAGGGGTGAAGGTGGGAGGAAGTTTGGGAAGAGGGGGTTAGTTGAGGGACGGAGAAGTTTGGTTGATGCAAGAGGGAAGAGGGGGAGGACGGTGAGGTGACGGTTGATGGTTGATGGTTGATGGTCGAAAGGCGGGATGGTTAGAGTTAAGAATATGTGACTTGGAGGCAGGCGGTTGGTGAGGGTTGTTCACTCTAATGGTCCTAGAGGACTGGTGTTAACTTCCAGGTTTTCTTTCCTCTTTTGTCTTTTTGCGTGTATACTATTGTACATATAACTAACCGAATTCAAGCCTACGCGTGGCTTTAGCTGGAAAATGATCGGGTGACATGAGCTTCCTAACTTCCTTATCCATCTTCTCATCTCTCGTCCACATGGCCATTTGAACTCCATGCCTCTAAATTCTCAGTATCGTAGCTTGTTGTGCTCTGTTATGCTCTGTATACTCCATCATGGGTATTTCAAGTTCGTTCAAATTCCGTGGAACTTGGCCTTTGCAAGAGACTCAAACAACCAATTCCACTCATTGAGGCTAGTAGCCACCACGGCACCTCAGTCCTCTATTGCGAGACGCTTGGCATCGCGAGCCCCTGTGCTTTCCTTCGGAAGTGGAAGTCGAGTCGAGCCAACAAAAAAAAAAAAAAAAAAAAAAAAAAGGGAATGACAACAAAATAGGAGCAGCAGAATACTCAATCATACCATCATGTCCCTTCCAGCCTTAATCTAGCCTCAATCCCAGCTACCAAGTAAGCCAAGCGTACCTATCAGTCCCACCCAGGCCCGTACCCGCTCATGAGATACCCGCCATGATAGTGGTCCCAACGCAGCCGGATATCAGGCATATAGGTCCCAGAAGACGACCAGACGTCCCAACAGTCATTGAATGGCGAGTATTCCCACACCCAACTACCGTCGTATCTGGGTACCCCGGGAGGCGGCAGTCTGTGGGTCGCCATATGGAGCGCCCATTCGTGAGAAATCATCCAATCACCCGCGTGGGGGATGGGGTCGATGGGCGGGCCATATTGGTAGATCTCCATGTCCGCCCCGTTCTGGTTCTCGTTCTCGTGGTGGCCAAAGATTGTTGTTGGATCCAGTTGGAGAAAGTCGGGCCAGGGATTTTCTTCGTAATCCTCCTGAGGCTCTTGAGGTTCTTGAGGCTCCTGAGGTTCTTGAGGCTCCTGGGGGGTTGAGAGGACCATGGTTGTTGTTGTTGTTGTTGTTGTTGTTGTTGTTGTTGTTGTCGAGATACCATGCTAGCTCTAGGGCGTCGAGGTCGTCGTTGATGCCGTTGTCACTTTCGCTGGAGCTGGAGCTGGAGCTGGAGCTGGAGCTGCTGCTCTCGTTCTCGCTCTCAACCTCTTGGCCCTCAAAGTCAGTGTCGCTGCTGATCTCGCTTGCGTTGCTCTCTTCATCAGACGCCTCATCCAAAAACTGCGGCGCAGGTCCCTAACCCAACGCCGAACCTGTTCTCGTCGCATGCATCGCACCTGTCACTGCCACTTTCTCCCTCTCCCTCTCCGCCTTCTCCTTCTCAGCCCTAACCTTCCCACTCCAATCCGTCCAACCCGCACTAAAATCTTTCTTGTTGGCACAAGTAGAGCAAGCAGCCGTCAACTTCAGCTTCTCCGTCGCCAAATGGGTGTAATATCCCTTCTCAGCCCTGGTCGGCTTGCTCTTGCAGAACGAGCAGTGCGCATCAGGCAGGTTGGCGACGAAATCGCCCGTGTGGCGCATGATGCGGAAGACGTCCAGCGCGAAAGTGGGGACTTCATCGAGGAAGGCGTTGAAGTGCTCATTTTGCAGGAAATAAAACCTGGCGGCGTGGACGAACGACAAGAAAGCGGCGCGTAGACGGGGGGCGGTGTGCGACGTGTCGGAGAGGGGGATGTCGGCGTAGACGAGGCGGATGGCTTCGAAGAGCTCGGGGAGCCAGTCGGGTGAGATACCGCTTTCAGAGGTAGGAGTGCCGGAGTCGTAGTTTAGTTGTAAGGGAGCGATCTTGCTGTCGAATTCAACGGTTAAAGTGTCCAGGGCAATTTTGGTCAGGGAGGAGAGAGCGAAGTAATCGCCGACTGTGTACACCTCAAAGCAGGAGACGAAGTTGGTCTTGGCGGTGGTGGGCGACAGGGCGGGGATGTCGCAGATGCCGGTGTAGATGTACCGGATGAGACTGTCGATGGCTTCGGGCTCAAAGTTCTCGATGTTGACGATGCCGGACTTGGCCTCTTCGAAGTTGCCGGTGAGGGCCTTTTCGAACCAGATGCTGCGTGAACAGAGGATGTTCTTGTGAAGGTTCCATGTTCTGTCGCCGCATCTAACGGTGACGTCGGAGAATAGGCCGCTCTCGAGAAGTCTGGGGTTGTTAATGGGTGCACTGGAAGTCGCAAGATATGTGTACGGCCACATGGGCCCGCGGGGCGAGGGCGACGTGACCAAGGATGGACTTACTTTTCGTCGGAGGACAAAAACCGCTTGTCCATGGTATCCAATTGCGCCTGACTAATTTGGAGTCGAGAATGCTTTGAAAGATCGAATGAGGGAAATAATTCGACGACTCGATGTTGTTGTGGGGAGAAAGGATGGAGTGGGCGAGAAGGGTTGATGAAGGAGGAGGAGTGAGATGACCAAATGGAGGAGTGAAGGCGCGCGCGGACGCGAAAAGATACCGTAACAAAGGTGGGGCAGTCATTCACTCGAGGGTGTATTTTACAGTGGGTTACGTATTACAGAAACTCAGTGTTCGAAAACACCCGCAAGAATGAATTACAGCCTCTGAACAACGTATGTCGATGTAACCACTGGCCAGAACCAAGATTATTCCTTCTTGTATTGCCTTATAGTATGTATTTAGTATATAAGCATCGAATCCTTATAGAATAAGGGTGTGTCTCCATTACCAAGATGACCCCGCTGACCCCTTACCACCCCTCCACCTCTTAACAACCCTCCTAACCTTCCTCTTCACATCCCTCATGAACTCCCTCTTCCACTCCCTCCCCATCCCCACACTCCTAACCTTAAACACACAACCTCTCACAATCTTCTCCACCTCTTCCATTTCCCAATCATTTCCCATCCTCAACACCTTCTTCATCCTCTCCTTCCCCTCCTTCTCTCCATCAGCGGGACATACCTCCCCCGCCAAATCGCCCATAAATTTCTTTCTCAGTTTATCCCCCTTCCCCAACCCAGTCCCGTAAATAACATCCACCATCCCCTCAAACATTTCCAGGGGTAGTTTATGTAACACAAGAAGAGGCGCCAGCCGGTCGTAGTGAACCAGCACCTCTTCTCGCAAAGCGGGAATGTCGTATTTATCTGCCATCACGTATACTTTCATTAGATGCAGCAGCAACCCCGCTATCGCCTGTTCTTCTTCGGCTGTGAAACTCAGGGTTATCAAGTCTTTGTATGCTAATTGTGTTTCGAGGTCGTCGTCGCCGTCTAATTGGTAGAGGGTATGGCCGTAGCACCACCGGATTACGGAGAGTAAAGCGTCGGGGTCGTCGCCGTGGAGGTGGATTGTAGGTTTTTGGTTGAGATGGTCGGGGTCGGACGATGACTCGCGAAAGGGAAGAGTAAAAGCTGAAGCGAAGAAGGGGGAATGAAGGGAGAGGATTAGCCGGTGGACAGGGAGTTCATGGCGGAAGCCGGTGATGGTGAGATAAGAGAGGGTGGCGTCGGAGAAGAGGGTGGTGTTGAAGTAGGTTGTGAAGTCTGGGTTGGACATTCTAGTGATCATTTTTGGTGTTTGGGTCTGGTATTGGGGATGTGGTGATGCTGTTCATGTTGTTGCTTGTTGCTGGGATGGCAGGATTCGGAATCGAGACGGACCGGGGGGTGTTTTTGTTTTAAAGGCCGGGAGAGCACAATGCCTGGTGGTGAGCAATGCCCTTTGTTGCACGTTGGCGGACAATGGTCATTGATGACCTTCTTTGTTCGTGACCCATCTCGAAGTTGGCAACAAGGACATGTTGCTGGGTCGGCTTTTGGTTCTCCATCTCGAACCAGACCAAAGGACCGCTCGGAGCGAGGAAGGGGCCGCCACGATCGAAGAACGTCAGTTTACAAGAACATTTGTGATAGACATTAACGTAACATAACTCGGGTATCTAGGTTTTCCATATCATCCAACTTTTCTACCCCCCCCTTTCTCACACCATTTTTCCACTCATCCCTCTCACTCCAGGCGACTCATACCCTGACCTTCCAAACCCCCTTCCCATCCCCCTCCCTCATCGTCTTCCTAGCCTTCACCATCCTCGTCGCCACCAGCAGCCCCATCCCACAAACAAGCGTCGACCCCGCAAACGCCTGCGCGCCATAATATTTTCCATCCATCGCACTGATGATCGCCCCAGCAATCGGCGGTCCCGCCAGCGTCGCAAAGCTATTACACGTAAACACCATACCCATCCTGACACCCGCCTTTCTCAAGTCCGTCGTCAAGCTCGTCAGTCCAGCGGGGAACAAACTCTGAATGCCACCAGCCGCCGCACCGTAGAATACCGCCCACACGTAAAGTCCCGCTTCGGTCTTGACTGCCGTCCAGCAGAGGACGCAAATCCCCCCTGCGCCAGCGAACGGGATGAATACATTTATCGGACCCGCGCGGTCGGCAATGTAATTCGGTATGAGTCTACCAAAAACTCCCACCCCGTTGAGAACTAGCAGGATGTTCAGGCTGGATGTGTAAGGGAGGTGGATGATATCGCGCGAAAAAGAGGCGAGGTAATAGAAAGCGAAGTAGAGCCCCAAAAAGCACAAAAAACTGCCGGCGACAAAAAAGCTGTATTCGCCTTCCTTGAAAGCGCTCCACTCAACTAAGGGGCCGCGCATCCCCCTGGGCTTGGTGCGGGGCTTGATCACCCAGAATGAACAGAGCAGGGAACCGATGCAGATAAACCCCATTGCTCTGACTGTCCAGGGGAATCCCACGCGAGGTAAAAGGCTGCGCATCATGCTGGGAAAAACCAGCCCCCCGGTGGCGGACCCGCAGGCTGCCATGCCGATTGCTAGACTCCGTTTTTTGCTGAAGTAGGTCGAGAGGGTAGCCATGCATGGACAAAACAGGCAGCCGTTACCTAGGCCCATGGCTAGGCCTTGCGCTAGAAACAGCTTCCACACGACTCCGCTCTCGTCACCGGAAGCGACGCCGTCCATTGCGTTGGCTGTGCTGAAGATTCCGAGTGCGAGGAAGGCGGTTCCCAAAAGGAAGACGTGCCGGAAGTAACCGCCGTCTGTTAGGCGGCCGGTGAAGGTGCCAATGAAGAACAACAAAAAGACTTGGAGAGAGCCGATCCAGGAGATTGTCGAGGGGGCGATGGACGGGAGAGAGGAGGTGTAGTAAGTTTGGAAAACGCCAAAGGAGTTGATGAAGCCCCATGTTGTCATGATTACTAGGTGGGCTGCTGCGACTGTGGTGGAAAGGGGTGTCAGCACTGATGTTAGGAGGGTGCAGATGGGTTGTGGTTATAGGGTGTGGGATGTGAGCGGGGCGATGGGCCTGGGGGACCGGAGATGGGAAATGGGTGATGGGAAGGATGAGGTCATGGGTAGGGACGGGTGTGAAAATTGAAGAGCAAGGGGAAGGGGATGGATCTGATATGGGTAAGGGGAGAAGGAAGAGGGAGAAGTGAATGGGGATGGGATGTGTTCGAATGTGTTTGAGACAGGTACAGGACCAAGGTGGGTAAGGGGAGGAGTGAGGACTGGAGTAAATGAGACGAGGAATGGATGAATTGAGGCCCGAGACAGGTACCGTACGAACGGGATAATGTCGAGGGTAAGGCAACAAAAACGAAAGACAACAAAACATACCAGTACACCAAGCCCTAGCCCCTCCATCAGGCGGCGGCCCCGGATCAAAGTTCGATTCCGGCCTCGATATTACCCTCGACAGAGTCTTGACCAGTGAGAGACGACCACCTCCGTTACTGTTGGTGTTGGCTGCGCGCTTCTCATCGTCATGGCTATCATCCTCATGATGCTGGTCGATCCCGTCGATATCACTGTCTTCACTTTCTGATCGTCCTGATACTCGGATTGCCTCGATGTCTGTTGTGCTCCCGCTCCCGCTTTGAAGGCCGCCTAGTTCTTTGTCGGATGAGTCTTTGATGTCTGTTGGTGCCATGGTGGTGTGATGAATGATGGTAGTGGTTGATGGGTGATAGATCCGTTCGAGTCCCGGATGAATGAGCGGTCGTTACTCCTGGCTCCGGGTTGTGAACTGAGTTTGTTCCTCTTGGGTAGGATCCTTTGAATGACTGGACTGGATGTGTTTTGTCTTAATAGATGTAACATGCGAAGAAACCAAGAAAAGCGATGGCTGATGTTAAGGTAGTGAGTCACTGATGATTGACTCCTTGATCCTAGATGGAGTCTAATACGAGTAAGTCGTCGAGATAGCGGTGCGGTGAGCGGGCCCCGGGTTCTTTCTGTTCGGTTCGGGTCTGATTCGGGTGACGATGGCCCGGACCGACTGAGTTTTCACATGTAATGACGATCTTAGGGAAGATGATAAACACTGGAACTGGTTTACTTGACTCGCTTGGGTATCATGAACATAAAACGGAAGCAAGCAAAACCCAACATGAAAAGCAGCGACAAAAAACAGACCAGAGAAGGCTTTTGGGAGCGAAAACAGGCGTCGGTTGACGTTTTCCAGTCCCCAGACCGCATCTTCAAAACCACCCAGAACTACACTCGTGGCCGGCCCGTTCCCACCCCAGAATTTTCGGCAGCAGTGGTCAGTGACAGAACACTCTTCCTCGGATTCGATGCGTCAGTCCAGAAGGGAAAAAGGCGTCTTGGTCCCGCTGGTCTAACCTCAAGACTGCTAGCCCTCGCTAGCTTGAAGAAACGTGAAAGATGATAGGTCAATTAAAGAGGGGGAAATGAGAATTACTAAACGTTAAAAGGAAGCTATTCCTTGTTTGTATTTGGTGTGTGTTGAGGTTGCGGTTGTGTTATGTAAGGTAAGGTGTGGTTGGGACTTGGGAGAAGGGTTGCTTGCTGAGCGGATGCCGAAGTCGGTTGTTGACTTTGATAATCTTGGGGTGTCCCATGATGATTTTCATCTGGTTTTCTTGACTATTGAGTGGTCTGTTGACAGTAGTGTTGGTTGACCAAATAAACCCAATATCAAAACCATAAACGAGATGTCGTGAGCCGTATTAGTATGACCTCATCAATCAATATTTGAATACCGTCTGCTGTTGTCGAACCTCGGCCAGCTTCCTGCCGTCCTCAAAGCGCGGGGTACAGCATTTGTTTGCTCATTCTCAGTTCTTTCTCAAAAGGTTCGAAATTTCAAAAAAGTGTAAAAGCATGGAAGCCAAGACAAGGCAACACCACCCCGTTCGTTATTCCCGGCCGTGGCTGCTTGCCGTGGCGGATGTGTCTGTTTTCTGTCATGTGGACAAAGGCACGGCACGGGAGAAGTTCTCCGGATTCGGCCACCAGGCTACCTATTGTATCCACCCATGTCAACGGAAGGGCGCGGGAGGTCCAAGCGCCTACAGGCCGTCGAGGGCCGATCGCTACCGGAGATGTCCGGAAATCCATCGTTGGTGCCGGCGAGGGTGGAGCTGTTGAGCTCCGTGTAAGCCATGTCGCAATTCCACTTTGCTGCCGATCGTGCGGATTCTGTTACGCGATGCTTTACCGGGGATTGACGGCGACTGCCGAGACGGAGCCGAGTGTTGGGTCGGGCGAGGTTGGCATCATTGCATGTGTGTATATGGTGGACGATTGGAAATACTTGAACAATGACAGGGCAACCAAAAATTTGTATTACAAGAAAGGAGGACTTGGTTGATTGCCAAGGGAAGTTGAAGGAAGATTGAGAAATGCTTCGCAGGAATTTGCCGCCTGGAATAAATTTCTACAGCATTTGCAACCGCGGTGGGTGACAGTTGCCATTGCCTGCCGGATCCTGTCGTTGGGATGGTGACGAGAAGAACGAAACACTTCCTGCTCGGCAGGGACCAGAGGGCTGGTCGCACTAACAACACGTTGCCGAATTTGCACAGGAACAGACGACGATCCTGTTAGTGGAAGCGGCTCAGCTCATGGTGGAATATGCACTAACAGAAGTGCTCGCATTTAGTATGTCAGATAGCCCAAGTAGGTGTTAGTGCAAATATGTTCACATTCCTCCCGTCAATCCAACATCCAAGGCACTTGTCCCAGCTCTTCATCATCGAATCCCGACAAGCACAGCAACAACCGCACTCGCATCTTCAAGAAGCAATCGACCAACAAGTTTTCTACACCTCTTCCATATATTTCTGACCTCAACTAGGCCGCTACTGCTACCGGTCCTAGTACTAATACTACGGTAATGACTGACAATCTTTCTTACACTCATCATCTTCGTCATTCTCATCACCTCATCATTCCCAACACCATCAACACCAACCTCGTCATCCCCATCATCAACATCAACCTCATCAACCTCATCATCACAACCATCAACACCACGCCCAAAAGATCCCTCTTTGACTTGACCAGCATCCTCCGCGCAAAGCAGCTCTTGCTTTCGTTGCGCAGAAGAAAAAGAGGGATAAGAAATGAGAATAGAAAAGGAAAGGTTTGCCGCAACACAGACCTTTGTTGCCTTTGCCAGCATCTTCACAGATGCGGCTTGGGCATTGTTCTCGTCAAGCTTGATTGCATCGTCTTCACCACGGTTGCGATCGAGCTTGACGAGAGACTCACCAACGCCACCAGTAGTATGTTGACGAGGACAATGACGTTCTTGACGACAATTACTGGTATCATGGACATGGTCTCCATCAAGATCGCCAACCGCAAAAGTTGTGATCAAGACGTTGGCCATACCATCAACCTCCTCCTCAACGACTTCCGCCCGGGGCTTCCCGCCCCTTCTTAGTCAATCCCGTCCCTGGTCACCCTGGCGCTGAGCCATGGCTCCTTGTCCTTCCATCTCTCCGCGAATCGACTCCTCGCTCGAAGATCCGCTGCCAAAGTATTCACCAAAGATCTTCTCTTCAACATCCATATCCTTCCACAGCTTTCCCTGACCACCGCGTTTAACCGCGTGACCTCTGGCTCTGCGTCTCAAAAAGACGCGCTTCCCCCACTTCCAAGCCTCCACGCCTCCAAAGAACAGGCCCGCGCAGATAAACACAATCCCCCACTCCCAGCTGATACCCGTGTGCTTGAACACCGCGTGGTTGATCACGGGAATGTACAGTGTAGGGAAAAGCGTGACGAATCCGCCTACAATCGCCCAAAACAAGAATTTGTTGCGCCAGACGTCAACCATCCACTGCGTGAAATATTTCTTGGAGCCAGGCTGCATCCTAAAGAACGAGCGACGCATATCGACCAGTTCCCAGGCTAGGAACAAAGCGAACCAAGTGAGACACGCAAAAGTGGTGGCGCGCGCGCGGAACACCGTCTCGCACGAATCGCTGTAGTGCTCGTTGCAGTTCGACCCAAGGTCACCGTTACCCCATGCGTAGACGCGCAGCACGAAAGATGCGAGACAAAGCGCCGTGATCCATAGTCCGTAGAAAATCATGTCGATGATGAATTCCAGTGTGAAAATACCCGTCTTTAAACTCTGGGGAGGCCGTTGCATTATGTCGGGGACGGCCCGTTCAAAGCCGAGGCCCATGTCCGGTAGACCCGAAGTGATCATGATGATCCAGACGATTTCCACTGGTGCTAGCGGGAAAACCGAAAGGCCAGAGGCGTCTTTGAATGCCAGACCAATCAACAGCGTGCCAGCCTGCGCGATATTCTCCGCTAGAACGTGCAACACAAACTTCTGGATATTGTCGAAAATCCTCCTGCCCTCTTCTATCGCAGCGACGATGCTAGCAAAGTTATCATCCGTCAAAACGATATCGCTCGCATCCTTCGCTACGTCGCTCCCGGAAAGTCCCATGGCGATACCAACGTCTGCGCGCCGCAAAGAAGGAGAATCGTTGACGCCGTCACCCGTCATCGCGCAGAACTTGCCTCGGCGATGCAACGCCTCGATCATACGCACTTTGGTGGAGGGCGCGCAGCGCGCGATTACCAGTGGTAAGACAGGTAAAGCGTCGACTTCGGAATCGGAAAGGGCATCGAATTGTGAGGCGGTCATGACCATCGCCTGAGCAACGGATGCGCTGACGCGGGACATGCTGGAGAGGGGAGGCAGGATGCCGACTTCAATGGCGATTGCCTTTGCGGTCTCAGGGTGGTCGCCTGTTAACATGTGCACGGAAATGCCCGCTTCGTGGCATTGATGCACTGCGGAAGCCGAGGATGGACGGGGAGGGTCGTAGAGCCCGATTAATCCACGGAAGGTGAGTTGGGATTCAATGAGCGAGCGGGGTGTTTCTTCACCCCATGTCTCGCCGTCTTCGGGTTTGGATGGGAGTTTGCGAGAGGCGAGAGCCAACACGCGCAACCCGAGAGAAGCAAACGATTCCATGTTCTTGAGGATTTCGGAACGGAAAGAGTCCGTGACGGGCTTTGGTTGACCATCGGGAGAGTCGGAATCGTAGTAATCGACGCAAGCGCCGATGACGCGCTCGACGGCTCCTTTCGTAAAAGCCCAGTGCTCGTTTGTTGAGTTATTCTTCATGACGACGGACATGCGCTTGACGTCGGAGTCGAAGGGGAACTCGGCGACTTCGAGCCATGAGGGCGAGGAGCCGGAGACCAGACGCAGGCGGTTGAAGTCGAAGCGCGAAGCGAAGACTTGGATGGCGATTTCTGTCGGGTCGCCGCGCGCGTGCCATTCTTGTGTGCCGGGGGTCTCTTGGGAGTCTTTGGCGAAGACGGTGGCGAGGTTGGCGAGAGAACAGACCGATAAGAAATCTTGGAGGCGAGTCTGGCTGGTGGAAAGGAGGTCGGTGGGAGGAGCGACGGAGCCGGTCGAGGACTTCTCGGGGTTGGTCGACTTGAAGTCAATCTGCGACGGCATCTGGTTCGCAAAGCGGATCTCGCCCTTGGTGGGGTTAACCGGCTCGTCACCGAGTTCGACGGTGTAAGTGCCCATGCCCGGGATCCAGGCACCGCGAGCAACCATCTTGCCTTGAGTGAGGGTGCCGGTCTTGTCAGAGCAGATATCCGTCACGGCGCCCAGGGCTTCGAGCGACTTGAGGTTGCGCACAATGACGTTTCTCTCAACCATCCGCTTGGTACCGGCTGCCATGGTGATCGTCAATACTACCACCAGCGACGCGGGAATCATACTAAGGCCCGTAGCGACAGCGTAGATGATGACTTCCTGACGGGTATTGAACTTGTTGGCTCCAAGAACGATGATGGCGCAGATGACAGCGATGCCGAAAAGCAACATGGCTAGCTTAGATAGCTTGCGCTGCAGAGGGGTGCCAACGTTGACGCCCAGGAAGCGACCGATGGCGTCTCCGAGGGTCAGGGTGTAAGCCTCCAGGTAACGATGGGGACCGGCGTGGCCATTGGCCTTGCGCTTGACGGGACGGACTTTGCTGTCTTTCTTGTTGAGAGCAGAAGCGATGGCGCCGATTTCGGTGAACGTGCCAGTGGCGAAGACGATACCCTTTGCGCGACCCTTGGTGACGGTAGAGGAAGAGTAAGCAACGTTGAGTCTATCGCCAGGGCCGGTGCTGTCGTCGAAAGTCTGATCGACCGTCTTGCGCACGGGGAGGGATTCGCCTGTCAACAAAGCTTCGTCGGTTTCAAAGTTTTTGGCCTCGATCAACCTATTGTTACCCAAAGAAAATGATCAGTCATTGGTAGGTTAAACAAGGGGGAGAATGGTCAACAGGTTACCTGATATCTGCGGGAAGAGTATCGCCCATTTTGACTTCGACAAGATCACCGGGAACGATTTCTCCAGAAGGGACGACCATGGCCTCGCCGCCGCGGACGACGGTGGCAGTAGGGGAGGAAAGAGAACGGAGAGAGTCCATGGTCTTTTCGGCAGAGTATTCTTGGAAGAAACCGACGATGACGTTGAGAGCGATGACGAAGGCGACGACACCGCCTTCGATCCAGGATTTGATGCCGAAGGAGACGGCCATGGCGAGGATAAGGACCTTCTCACGCTTAGTGGAGGTTCTTGAGAAAGGAGGATGGAAGAAGGGGAAGAGGACATACCAAAGTCATGGCATTGGCAATCTGCGCGAGGATGATCTTGATGGGCTGAACACCTTCAGCCTCGCCCAGTTCGTTTTTTCCATATTGCTCGAGACGGCGTTTGGCTTCGTCGAGGGTGAGACCAGAGAGGGGGTCGGCTCCGATTTCCTGGGCGAGATCTTGGTGGGTTAAGGCGTGGGCAGGTCGAGTAAGGGGTCTGTTGCTTTGGCCAGAGACATGGTTGTCGCCACCATTGTCTCCTTTGGCGACAGCCTTATCAGGCTCGCGATTGGACATGTTTGCTGTGAGAGTTAATCACGCAACAATACGTCAATTGGGGGGAAAGGAAATAAAAAGGAGTTTTGTCTTGTTCTATGCGTGTCTGTTTGTTTTAGTCTGCTAGTGAGTGAAAACACCAATAGCAGCCAACATCAACAACATAAACAGCTGTAGATAGAATGTAAGTAAGTAAAGAAGGAAAAAGATCAAGGACAAAGTAAAAAGGAGTCCAGCTAACTGATATACAGACGGGTGATGGCCTCTGGACCTCTGGACCTCTTGTCTGAACACATGTTCCCACCGACTCGTCGCATTGATCCTCTTGGATTGGAAATACCAAGACCGCGCCAAGGGCAAGCCAACTGGGTTTATCATGGTCTATCACCGACTTGATCACCTCGACCTGCCGCCACCGCGGGGCAAAGGAGAGTCTTGGCCAAGTATTGGACGCTTCTTGGCTGCGCCTTGGTATCTCTTGGCGGCCCTATCAATCGTCATTCTGTGTCAGTGGAAGTTCTCTGGGAAAGTCGGCGACGGAGACGGTGTCGGTTATCGGGCGGTCGGTTGTCTGTCTTAGAATCTCGGAATGTTGTAGGGCAGGTGCCAGTAAAATCGCTTGTGCAGGCTGTCCGGTTACGGTACGCTTAACTGTCCACATGTCACCAGATAAACAAAGCCCAAACACCTTGAATAAAACAGCGGTAGACAAGAAAAAGCCAACTATCAGAGACTCTGGCTCATGGAAGTAATGCTAGCAGTTTTTTTTAGAATTTCCAAATTAGCTAAAAGGGTTGTTTGTCGGTCAGAAGCGTTGTAGACATACAAGCGTGCTGTTAGTGTTACCTGCACAAGTGATTTTCACTATCACCTATAGGGGAAGCACACTCAGCAATGCGGACATGTTCGAACGTCGAATTCGAGATACGTTGATATAATCGCTATCCGTTTAATTGGAGCCGAAAGGATTCTGTCGCAGACCGCTGGCTCCCGAAAGTGAACGCCCGCCCCCGAGTATACCTACCTATACGACTGACCAGTTGGTGATCATGATGAAATTGCCGGCGTACGCCTTCCCCTTTCTGTCGTCATTGTTGGTGATTTCTTGTTTTCCCATTTCTTGGTGTTTGTTGACAATGCGTCATGCTGTCATGAAAGTTAAATGAAAGATGTTTGTGTAACAAACAATATTATTATTTTCAAAGACTTCCAGAACCGAAAAAAGAGAGGGGGGAAAGGTGGTTGTACAACAGCATCTCTAACCATCTCGACGTCGAAATTCGCAAAGTTGTCGTCATGTTTCGCAGAAAAACAAAAATGACAGCGAATCGATTCGAAAAGAGGCTCAGAGGCTCGTGCACCCAAAAGTGGTCAGGAACTTCCCGGCGGCTCCCTGCCGAAACGGTGGAGTGCTAGGGTCCATGGCGGTGTGATGGCGTAGCAGAGGTGGGGTTCCGTTCAGGGTAAATTTGCGTTAAACGCTTATGCTAGAAGTTGGGGGGTGGTTGGGAGGAATGAAACACCGAAGACTATTGATTCATCGTATATTTACATCTTGAAGCTGTTGAATTCTTGAACAACTACTCTCCCTTAATTCTTTTTGTGTGGTTTGACAGTTTGGAAACAGCGCCACTGACAATTCCGCTCTGACGCTCTCACTCAGCTATCTCAAAAGGACCCCTTCTGGCATAAGCCTTTAACACCACCGAGCTTTGACCCAGTCGTCCACTCTCAGCCAATCATGGCAGCTTATCGTCGCACATGGTGGGGCCACTTTTGTCCTGCACTAACAATTTTCTCGTTCTCATGCGAACTGTCAACATCACCACCTTGGCGTCACCCACGTGTGCGCACTCGACAACAAGGTTGGAGAACTTGAGCTTTCAACACACACTCCGAGACTGCATGAAAGCTTATTTTGTTACTCTTGGCTTCTCAAACCCTTTCTTCCCAGCGTCACGTTCCTCCTGAATATCACTCTGAATATTACTCCTTCGAGATCATCTTGTCGCCTTGGCGTCTGGGCACCATGGCGCCAACTGGATGTTGACATGATAGATACAGTCAAGATCCTAGCAACTGCAAACCAATACAAATTTACCTAGTTAACGCAAGCCTCTCCGCTGCCCGGATTCCCAGCTTTGTATGTAAGTCAGCCCCCAGTAAGTGCAAATTGCCTAGTTAGTGCAAAGATTTTGAGCCGTCCCCATAGTGCACCAATTGTTTGCAGTTGCTAGGATCTTGACTGTATACGGACTCGGCACGATGAAGGACAGGTCGATTGATCCAGAACGGCCGTCGATTTGACATCCGATACCGACCAACTGCGGACGGAATGCTGAGTGTCGTTCCAGGTCAACTGCCGTCGCGTCCCAGGCTGTCGTAATGCTCATTTTCCTTTTTCGCTGCTTTCTCCGACCGGTCACCAATGTCCCTTCCTAACCCGAGTCCTTCATTTGCCCGGTTTTTAATTTGGATTGCTGCAAGTCGCAGTTGTGCTTGAGTGTGCCTTCCTTGGGTTGGTGTCTAAAAGTATTCCGTGTGGAAGATGCATCCTATTTGCAAAGTCTCAACAAGGCCTGGCAAGCCTTTTCCCTTTTCTCTTCGTGGAAAGCCGCAATCAATCAAAACACTTCCCCCATCATCTCCATTTGGCATCTTTTCGTGTCATTACCATCACCAGTTTCTTTGTGTTCAAGTCCATGATGGCCGGTCGACTCAAAAAGTGCCTTATCGCCAATTCGGACGTCCCTTACGTCTCATTCAAACCGTCACAACACAGCCAGCAAGACTCCTCCTGTGAAAAAGGTAGCTTGGGCTGCCGAGGCAATACCCGTTTCAAACTATCTTTTATTGTTCTTTTCATCCTTCTTTGCTGTTCTTCCTGCCCTTTGCAGAAGCTGTAGCTCAGCCGCGACCATGTCGTTTTTCTTTGTTCGGGACCCACGCTCCCCCACAAGGGCTCTCATCTTCCCTTGGACACTCAACGCCCGAGGCCTCAACTCATAACATCAGAGTTCACGGATACTTCAGAGGGGATAAGAAAAGGTGTACAATTACACCAAGTCATATTTCATCATGACACTGCAAATGTCCGCCCTCATGTTTGTCACGGGGCGAGATGCTCCAGGAGACAAGGCAGGTTTCAACCCACCCTCCTCAACACCACATCTCTGCCACTCACTCAAAGACTAACTCTCCCCCAAGTCTTCAAAGAAAGCTCAGCTCATTGTGCCTCGACTCGAGCTTTCAAGCTGCATAATTGCTATTGACGTTTGCGGCACTTGCCCCTTTGTCCCCTTTGTTGACTTTGTATCCGAGCTGGATAACCCAATGTGCCTCGAAATGCCTACCATGACTGCCACATGTCTACTACTCGACATGTCTTGTCCATCATGCTTCCTCGACAACATCCGACGTGAACAACCACAACCACAACATCAACAACAACGACGACACCAAGAAACACGACAACACCAACGTCACCACCATGGTTCGCGCAACAAGCGGTAACTACGGCGAGGTCGGGCCCGATACCGACGATTGTCTCCCACAGTACCCACATTCACTGGAGCTTCAACGCTATGGCGGCTGGATGAACCCTTACTACGCAAACTTTGGTCTCTCGGGTCTCGAGGCCCAATTTCCCTCCTTGACCGGCTTGACCTTTGACTGGAGCAATGAGCGGGTCGCCCATGAAAGTCCACGCCCCCTCCCGGAGCCACATCACTTGGATACTCTTTTTATGACCGAGCGCTTCCAGCACGAGATCAACGATGGCTTCAAGGCCTGGCAAATCCCCCTCTCTTAACCTGGGCCTCGAGCCCATCGAAGATTCCTCCGTCGCAGTCGATCCCCAAAGGTGGCATCCGCTCTTCCAAAAGGCCCGCTGGTTTGACCTTAGGTCCCCCGTTGACCTTAACAACCACTCTCTGGCCGCCCCCCATTGGTCCATCGACAATCCCGACGTCTTTTACGAGCTGGGTGTCTGCATCGAGATGGCAAACAGAATGTTCGACCAAGCCCTGTGTACAAAATGGCTACACGCCCTCTTCTTCGGCACCTGGGAAGTGGCAGGGACCAAATACATCAAGTGCAACCGAGAAACCGACGTCGACGCCGACAGACTTAGACCTGATGGTGACCCCAATGTTTCCATAACCCAGGCCGAGCGGATAAAGCTTTACAGGGAGACTGTTACTGCCGCCGACCACATTGTTTGGTCCTTCTTTGACGGCGACGATCCTCACGAGTTTGGCTTCCCACATAACGCGGATGACAAGTTCACGTCGGGTTACACAAACGTTCATAAGGACAAGACGACAGGAGAGTACTTTGTTGTTATTCGCATGAATGCCCGCATATTGAGGACCCTGCTGCAAGACAACAATGGTACTAGCGATCCGACCGATTATCTCAGGACTGTCGAAAAACACGTTGCTCGTGCGCAGTTCGCCATTACGGTATGTTTCTTCCTTCATATAGTGATGTGAATAGCGCGCTAACCTGTGACCAGATGGTACATGAGTTGGCGGTATGTTGGTCCTTTACCTCCCACATAGCCTGTTTCTTACTTGCTAACCAACGATATGAGATATAGCATGCACTCAACTGGGTCTGCATGCTTCAAGATGGAAAGCCCCTTGACTCAGCCGAGCCAGTAAGTGGTATCGCCTCTCCATGCCGCTACACTACTGACAATTGTTGCGTCTCGCTAGCTCTACAACGACGAGTGTATGGCCGAGCTGGGCTATTCGATCGAAAAGAACCTGTTTGGTGCTACTTTCCGTTACATCCCAGAAGGCAGCGAAAGACACCTAATCCCGTCTACAATGCCCGGTTTGCGCCAGTACGGCTTGGCATTATACACATTTGAGGACGCCTGTTGGGTGTGGAACCCAACTGTCAGTACGGTTGACAATGACATCCACTGGCCCTCAGGCCAGCCCTTATCCTTCGACCGATATCCCATTCCCACCTTCTTCTCAGCCTCCCTCCAAATGCAAGATTTCTGGGACAACGTGGTGGCAACCAAAGGCCGAAGCGCCCTACGGCCACCTCGCCCCTTCAAAGCCCCCGTACTTGAAATGAAAGAACTAACCCGCGTCTACTCCGTGGTCCCCAACCCTGACAACCCCCAAACGTTTGAAGCATATCCGGACGTAGCCGCTAAATACCAAGACTGCGTCGACCACCTCCAACTCCGCAAGAAGGCCTGGAAACACTGGCGCGGCATTTCAGGACAAAAGGACCATCTTGCCGAAGCCTACGCCCAGTGGCAACGCACCCCTTACTCCCTCGTGGAATGCCGCAACTGCGTCGAACTGTTCACCGATGCCGCTGGCAGGCTCGACGAGAGGACTTGCACGCACATGATCGTCGAGCTTGGGGACAAGATTGAAACATGGGAGCAACACGCCGGCGAGGCCAGACCGCTGGGCTTCGTCTACACGATGCTGCTCAAACTCATGAAAGCGTCCATGCCCTGGCGAAGGATAGTGAAAAGGATCAGAAGCGAGCAAGCGACTCCCAGACCCAAGTGCCTAACCGCTGGCATCCCAGCGTAAACGCACTGGTCAAGGGCACAAAGTGGAGGTTTCCTGACCGCCACGTAGTCGCCGAGAAGGAAGGCAAGACGTGGAAAGTGCTGGATCTGTACAGCATGAAATCAGATTACAAGTTTATCACTTCCTACGACGCCCGCTCCGACTTGATCTCCAGCGCCCTACGCGAGGGGCAAAGGTGCTGGACCATCCTCCCGACCCCCACAGGCTTGCTGGAGGCCATCAGGACGTGTGCACATGAGCTCATGGATGCGCTCGACCACGAGGCTGATGCCGTCGGCTATAACACCCAAGACTGGCTGCCCTTCAACTTTAGCTTTCCAGAATGGGACATGGGTTTTGAACAGAGGGGCCCATCAGATGAGGTCGGAAACGTGGTCGCCGTGGCGGAGCGTGACGCGCGAAAAATTAATAAGGATGCACACCGCGCGTTTCTTGGGAGCCCGCCGCCGTCGCCTCTTGGCTCGAAGGGGGATGGGACTAGTGATGATGATGATGAGGATGAGGAGGAGGATGAGGAGGAGGAGGAGGAGGAGGAGGAGAAGGAGGAGGATGTTGATGAAAATGAAGATATGAATGACGATGACGACGACGACGACGACGACGACGACTACGACGACAGCGAAAGTGATAGTGATGATGATAGTAATAGTGACATCGAGATGGGCGATGCGGGTCAGAGCCAGAGCCAGAATGTTGGTGATCGTCCAAAGATGTTTCTGGATATCGGAAAACTGAGTGGTGTTTCCCAAGCCATGATGAGCCGGAGCAGTACCCGTGGTCGTGGTATCTCCAAACCTCGTGGTCGTGGTTCTTGCGGTAGACGAGGCGGTGGCCGAGATGGTGGACGAGGAGGCGAAAACGCCGGCTCCGGTATTGGTGTCATCTGCCGTCGCGGTCGCGGCCGCCAGCAAGCCTGGCGATCCAATGCATCCGACGATGAGGACGATTATGATGTTGAAGAGGAGATGCAAGATGAAGTCGACCCCGATGCAGGGGAAGTAGAACAAGAAAACGAATCTTCCTTCGCCTCAGAAGATGAAATGGGCCTGGACGATGACATCGTAAGCATTTCTAGTTTCGCCTCTCAGCGAGCTTCACCCGTCGAATCTCTCCCCAACCTCTCCCAGCTACAACTCAGGAAGCGGCCCCGCTCCATCTTCAAAATCTTCTTTGAGAAATCCATTCTCTTCACTGCGAAGGAACGGGACGACCTTATTGCCGGCCACCGCAACTTCCACGACTCAAGAAACACTTGGGGGGAACTGTTGGAGCTGGAAACCGAGCTGTCGTGCCGAGTGGAAGAAGCCCCTAACCCCAAGGCGGACGGTAAATATGACGGTGCCTACGCGATGGAACAGGTGCAAGAGGAGTGGAGAAAAAGAAAGCATTGGAGTTTAGGAGAAATAGCTGATCATTGGCCAAAGGTAGAAGGGGGAGATCACATGTATGGAACGTCGAGGTGGGCTTTGTTGACAAGTGGTGGGGAGGAACATGTTTACGAACTTGGTTTGAGCATTCCTCGACGTGAGTTTTTCTTTTTCTTATTTTCTCGTTTCTCTTGTTTGTGTCTTCCCCTTTTATTGCAGTTTGCCTTGCCTTACGTTGCTTATACATATAGGAGTAACATACTGAAAGCTGGAGCGACTGCAAGTGGCAGGGGGGAGTGGAGGTCACAGACATGCTTGGGTGATGATTTGAGAAAGACTGCCTCAGTGGTACTGCTGCTAACTAAAACCAGAGGTAACGGCAACGGATGTAAAGGAAACTCCCGACTCCCTCTTCTACCAAGAACCCCGTCACCGAGGCGGGTTCAGGACACATCTCGCCCAACAGTCTCCCAACGGCTGGGCGGTTGTCGATGGTAAGAGCTGGGTGCATCTCGAGGACAATCCCGATGCCCTGTTCCGCGGCAAGGTCTTGCAGAAGATAACGCTGGAGGAAGTGAGAGAGTTCAATGGGCACGATGGACGGCCATTGTGGGCGTATGTTGGGAGAGATGTTTTTGATCTTAGCAGTAAGTTTATCCTTGAGTGTCTGAGGCACTTCACCACTTCACGTACCTGCCGTCAAGACTGTGTCTTGAGCAACTCCTCCAAGCCAGGTTCGGGGCTACTTGAACCTTGACCTTGACCCTTCACATCCCCAACCCACTCCCCATTCCTAAAAAGAAATTCCTTCCATTCCTCCCATCCACCTCCTCCAGCAGAATTACTAACCTCCACTGCCTTTTCCCACCAAACCAGGTGTCAAAGACGAAGGAGACGGCCGCTTCAAAACCCTCGTCCGCAGCAACATCGCAAGGTACCAAGACTTGAACTCTTTCTGTTTTGATCATGAAAAGGATCCCCTTGATCTCAGGAATCTACTGTGGCCGTGGCGGTGCGCCAAGATTAAAGTGGTTAAGAAAACCAAAGAGACACGGAGACTGGAAGTCTTCACGAAGAGGGAGCTCGGTCCCCACATTTTCCCGGAGGTGGGAATGTATATCTGTATAAACGAGACCGTATATGATGTTTCTGGTTAGTAATTACCCTTACTCTGTCGCTTTTCAGGATGAATTGGATGGAGCTAACAAGATTACAGAGTACATGGAAGACCATGCCGGCGGTACCTTGAGGAACTACGCCGGTTGCGTTACAGATCTGCAAGAGTTGACAGCCAAGTTCACCGAAGAACATGTTCTGGAACCTCGTGTATACGGCCGGATCATCCCTACTGTTCCCGACCCAGAAATCGAAACAAATCGCCAGAGACTGGAAAAAGTCCTCTTGAAGTACGAAGACTTGCAAATTGGCTACATCGTCAACGAGGTCGGACCTAACCCCCCACTTCGCCCCAACTGCCTAACTCTGTACAATTCCGTATACGACTTCACTTGGCTCTTTCAACATCAAGGCATCTTCCACGGCACTCGATATCTCGAGGAGCAGGAAATCAAACGCCTCTGCCGCTTGTGTGGTAAAGATATTACGGAGCGCTTCAAAAGGAAGAGCAAGCGAGGGGAACAGCTGCGCAAGATCTTCAACAACATCCGCGAAATCAAATACTCCTTGATCACTGAGAAAATCTACCGCCCTCCCAGTAGGGAGATTTCCGTGCGCGACCTGAAGCTGCACGGCATCAAGACGCTCGCGACCAGAGCCCAGCGCATGCGCAAAGCTGCTCGATGGTCCCAACTCTGCTACCGGGGCAGAGGACACTTATCTCAATGGGCCCACAAAGCCGCGATCGAAGGCGAACATCTGTGGGTCAACGTCGGCGGAGTTGGCGGTTTTGTCTACGATATCACCGACATGGTGCTCTACTCCGACATCGACACCTCGATAAACATGCGGTGCCTGTCTGGAACGACGCTCCTCAATCAGTTTGACAGCGAGGAGGAAGCAGAGGCGGCGGCACAGATCGAATATACTGATAGAGCCGCGTATGCCCTGTTCAAGGAGAAGGAGACTGCCTGGGGGCTGGCGAAGAGATTTAAAGCCAAGGTGGTGGGGGTTTTGGTGGCAGATCTGGCTGGTCGCTCTTTTCAGGACCAAGAAGGGGTGAAGGTGGAGAAGCTGGAGAAGGGTGAGGAGGAAATGTTGTTTGCTGACAAGTTGTTGGAGTTTGACGAGAACTTTACCACGCCGAGTCCCGCTCGGCGGCCTCAAGCAACCCCGGGAACCCGGTCGTCTAGAGGTACCCGTGTCTCCACCCCAGGATCGGTAGTCCGTGCTACAGACAATAGCCAAGAGCTCTTCCGACCCGGATCTTCTGGACCTCGACCTTCTCAGACCCAGGAGGACTTCTTGCGCAGACCGACACCCCCCTCTCAACGAGTTCGCAAGAGGCTGAGGGAGGAAGTGTCTGAAATTATGGACGGAAAACGAATTAATTTTGGATTCCAGTCCTCCCTCTCCTCCTCCTCCTCCTCCTCCGCCTCCTCAATTGACAATGTCGCACCGGGCTCGCCATCCGCCGGACGAAAGCCCAGAAGCAAAAAGCCAAGAACAACGAGACCAGAGAGGTCGCCGCAGGCTAAGCGTCCTCGAATCGCTGGCCGGGATTTGGGAGTCAGAAAGGATCAGGTAAAAGGTCTGGCTACTGGCAATCGCGGGTTGGTGAATATGAGAGTGGAGAGGGAGGAGGCGAAGGCTAGAGCGGCCAGGGAAAGAAGGCATAAGGCCGCCACTGCTTCGGCGGTTGCAGCTGGAAAGGCAAGTGCGGATGCGAGGAGGGGTCCTGGTGGTGGTAGCAGTCAAGTACCGGCGCCGGCGCCGAGGGCGACCACGCGTGTTGGTACTGGTGCTGCTGCTGTATCTAGCACGTCTCAGGGTAAAGGTACAGGACTGACGGCGGCTCTTCAGATGACTAGATTGTCTGGAAGGGCCAGTGCGACGCCTGGACGTACTGGACGAGGAGCTCCCTTGGCTCCGGTGCGTGAAGATGATGAAGAAGATGAAGACCCGAGAGGTCAGAAGCGAGACAGGAGTGATTCCCCTGAAGAATCGGAGGAGTGGTTAGCGGAGAAGAGAAACCAGGGCCGTCGTGCTAGGCAAAAGTCTCCTGAAGAGGATTTATCCGGACAAGAGGGCGAAGATGACAATGGTGAAATGGTAGATGCCGGTGACGGACAACGTGATCGTCAACGCACTGCAACTCCCAGATCTCAGCAACAAGGCCAACAGCAGGCAGGAAGAACTCAACCCCAGCGTCAACCAGCAAGAGGTGCACAAGCTGCAGCACCCGGCGGTGGTCCTGCATCCTCTGACGGCTCAGAAGGAAGACCTCCACGTCGAAGACCCGGAAGCAGTCCCCATCGACCTATTTCCCTCTCTAGTTGCGAGCCGGATTCCTCTGACGACGAAGACGAGGACAATAATGACGGCGACGATGGGAGAAATCCACCTGGTCAAGCACAACCCAGCGCTCGCAGCCCTCGAGATCCCCCTATTCCTCTTCGACCCGTTGGCCGTAGGGGACAACCTGGTCCTTCAACTCCTGGTCGACAACCACCTGCAGAGATAATCTTCAGAAGTCCACCCCAATCCATTGGTCGCCGAGTAATACCTCGCGGAGATGAGAATGAGGACGATGACCTAGAAGTTATCGATGAAGAGGACTTGGCCGCCGCCCGTCCTGCCCAACCCAATCCCGAATTACCACAACTCCAACCAGGCAATGGCACCCCCGTCAGGCCCCGAGGACCAAGGATTAAACGCGTCAATTGCCCACCTCCCAACCAACCTGCTCCTGTTTTTAATCGCCCCATTCCAGGTCGTGGCAAATTCGTTCCTGATCAGGGACTGAGCCCGGGACTGGTCAGACGATATGAACCCGGTTCGGATGATAGGGATCGGTTTGCTGAGTACAGGGAGAGGGAAGAGGAGAGGTCTAGTGCCGAGGGCACTGATCGGGAGGATAATGAGGACCACAATAGTGTAGAAGAGGAGGATGAGGAGTATCAGGAGGCTAGTGCTGGGCGTGGACATTCTGGTGGTTCGAGGATGTCAAGGGGGTCTAGAGGATCTCGTGGCTCTCGTGGCTCTTATGGAACCGGTGTCAACAGATGGTCGGAGTATTCAGGCGACAGCATCTTCCCTACCCCTGACCGAAACAGAGGAAGGGATGCCGGGGATGTCGAGATGGATGCCGCTGCTGAAGAAGATGACGAAGACGAAGAAGATGTTGCCATGGGCGGCATCAACGACAACCAAGATGTTCCTGATGAAGAACAGTTGGACGAAGGGCCGCCTCAAACTCCACCACAGAACAGCCGCGACCCCCGCCATCCCGACTACGTCACCCCTCACCTCCGTCCCGAGTACACCCCGCGCCAGCGCGCATATCTCTACGAGCTTCATCAAAACCGGCTCAATTACAGTCCCACAAGCAGGCGCAAATTTGACAAGGAAGCCCTCTACAATTACCAGCTGAATCGCCACGCCCAGCCCGGACGCGCAGCCCCTGTCTTCAGGACACCGCCGCGATTCAGAGCTAATCCTTTCGCCGGAGCCCCAATCCCCAGCGACGAGCAGCTGGAAGCCATGCTACGGCAGCGAATTGATGCCGCTGTTGCTAGTTTCACTGCAGTGAGAGGATACCGAGCCGCGGTGCTGGAGAATAGAGAGGAAGAGTATCTTGCTGAGCATGGCAGGCCTAACATACGGGGGAAATTGTTCCCACGTATCTTTAACGGTCCGAGGCGAAGGCCCAGGCCGCAGCAGCAGCAGCAGCAGCAGCAGCAGCAGGGAAATGTGGATGATCCGTTTGTTGATAATGATGGGGATGTTGAGATGGATGACGGCGAGGGTGAGGGTGAAGAAGAAGGAGTAGACCTGGAAGAAGATCCCGAGAGTTTTGCGGAAGGAGAAGCGAGGGTTAGAAGGGAGACCACGGAGAGGTTTATTGAGACTTATAGGTCCACGCTCAGACCTAACGTTGAGGCATGGTTTATTGCGAGAAGGGTCGGCATGTTGAGGGCCTGGGGAGAGGGGAGGGAGTTTGATAGTGAGGAGGATGTGGATTTGCAGAGTGAGGAGGAGAACAGGAGGAGGGCTAGGGGTGGAAGAGGTGGGAGGGGTAGGAGAGGTGGAAGAAGTGGAAGGGGTGGAAGAAGTGAAAGTGGTGGTCGTTCAGGTGGGAGAGGCGCTGGTGGTGGAAGAAGGGGTGGTAGAGGGGGTGAGGATGATGATGATTTCGCTCCGTCACCTCCCAGGCCGCGTACTACCCGGTCTGCTGCCGCGAAGGCGGCTGCTGCTCCGGCTTCTGCTCCTGTCCCTGCTGCTGTTCCAGCTCCGGCTGCTGCTCCGGCTGCTGCCCCGGTTCCTGTCCCGGCTCCGGCTCCGGCTCCGGCTCCGGCTCCGGCTCCTCCTGCTGTTCCGGCTGCTCCCCCTACGCGCGTTGCTAGAAGCACTCGGAACAGGCCGGCTCCTGCTGACTCGGATGAAGAAGAGGAACAGGATGCTCAGAACCAAGAGGAAGAAGATCGACGAGAGGCGGAGAGGTTGCAAGCTGCTGAGCAAGCCGCACCTAGGAGGGTGACGAGGGGTAGTACTAGGGGTGCTGCAGCTCAACCTCCAGCTGGGTCTCAACCTGCGCCCGCACCGGTACCGACATCACAGCCTCGGCCTTCGGCTAAGCAAGCAGCTCCCGCTAAACAAGTCTCTCGCCCAGCTGCCCCAAGCGGCACCCAACCCCGACCACCCCATCCCCCTCCCCCTTCCGCTCCTCTTCCCCGTCAGCGCCGCCGCGGCGACCCCGACCCAGACGTCTACACAGATCTTCCCATCCCACCCAAAGAAACCGAAGCACAACACGCTGCTCGCGTAAAGCGTAATGCTCTTCTAAAAAAAGCAATGGCGTGATCGGATTCGTCAAAGGGAGGTGCGAGCCAAGAAGAAGGAAGAGGAGGAGGCAAAGGCTGAGGAAAAGAGGAGGAGGAGGGAAGCTGGTGAGAATGTTTCCTCTAGTGAGGAGGAGGATGACGACGAGGACGAAGACAGTGATGAGGATGACAAAGATTCGGATGAAGATTCGGATGCTGATTCTAATTCAGACGACTCGGATGACGATGGAGCAAAGAAGAAAAAGAAAAAGGCGAATAAGAATAAGAAGGACAAGAAAGAGAAGAAGGCAGCGAAGAAGGGTGATAAGAAGAAGAAGACTAAGAAGAAGGGAAAGAATGGGAAGAAGAATGATTTGCCTGACGAAAATGATCCTAACCTCACAGAGCAGCAGCGGAAGGAGATTCGCCAGAAAAAAGCGCAGAGGCTCCGCGATATGCTGTACCGAAGAAAGAAGAGGGAGAGGGAAAGGGAGGAGAAAAGGCTAAAAGAGGAAGAAGAGGAGGCTGCTGCTGCTGCTGCTGCTGCTGCCGGGGAGGGTGAGGGTGAGGGAGAGGGAACGATTACTGTGTCTACCTCTACCGCTACCGCTACAGGTCCCGCTACGGCAACGGATAAGAAGATGGACAAGGGCAAGGCAGCCGATAAAGACAAGGCCAAAGCCACTGACAAGGGCAAAGCCAGGTCCAAAAAGAAGGGCAAGAAAAAGGCTACTTACTTCTCTTCTGACGAAGACGAGTACGACGAAGATGAGGACGAAAACTCCGACGCCGAGTCCAATGAAAGCCATGGCGATGAGGGGTTTAATAACCACCGTGGAAGAGCGGGGGAGAGTTCGGCGGTGGGAGGGAGGAGGGAGGCGAGGGCTACAGCTGCGAGGGCAGCGGCTACCAGGGCAACGACTACCAGGGCTACGGGTGGGTCGAGGGCTAGTGCAGGATCCAGGAGAGGTGTGAATGATCCGGATGATGATGAGGAGGAGGAAGAAGAGGAGGAAGAAGAGGAGGAAGAAGAAGAGGAAGAAGAAGAGGAGGATAGTGATGAGGATTTTGTGGCGTGAGGTGGTTGAGGAGGGCTTTAAGTGTTGGGTGTTGAGTTGAGTACGATGTCAGAGTCTTAGGGCCAGGTATGTGCTGGATGATGAAAACCGGTGGATTTTGGGTGTTGGATGGTGAGAATATTGTACCGAGTTCTGTTGTTATTGTTTGGAAGTTGTTTGTTTTTTGGAGTTTGGAGTTAGGCTTCACGCGTTGGAGTGTCGGATTGGAGTGTCGGATTGAAGGTTAAGCCGTTAGATTGTGGATTTTGTTACTTGATCTTCCTCTCTTCTTCCATTGTCATTCGTACTGTTGTTGTTTTTTCCTGATGTGGCGATCTCATGGCATTATCTGTGTTTGGAACTTTGGATACTGCTAGTTTGTGAACTTGATTTTGGATTGTTGTTATGTCTTGCATCAATTTGAACTACCCTTCTCCTTCCTCCAACCACCTTCCGTGGTGATAATAAGACGACGTAGGTGATCCTCATGTGTATTCCTCCCCAAGTCTTCCCTCGCTGTTTTGGAGTTGCTACATAACTGCCCCTGTAGTTGGAAGGTAACGAAACGCTTCGTCAACATTAACACTGCGTCGAAAAAAAGGAAACATGATCAATCTCAAGTCACGAACCAAACCCTCTTTATCCTAACTGAACGATGAAGGCTAACTAACACACTCATGCATTGGGTGGTGAAGCAGGTCTTTCACACGATGCCCTGCGCTGATTGCAGTGGCAGCCGCGGGTGAAACTTCAATATCAAGTTAACAAGGCTGGACAACGCACGATCAGATAATCAGTTAAAGTCAAATACGAAAAAGCTTCGGTAGAAGCTTCGCACCGTTTCTTTTCCTTAACCACCTCTAGGTAAAGAGGTACGTAAGGCAGAGGCATGATGCGAGTGTCTTGCACTGACTGCTATGTGACCTTGAAAATCCCCTGTTGTTTTTTTCCCGCAGTGGCTTGTGGCTTACGGCTTATTGGTTGCAAGTGGAAGGAAGGGATCGGCCACATCAATGGCGAAGCAGGAGTCAGACCGGTGCGAATTACGGTAATCTTCAACGATGTAAGTCATCACCTCCCCCTCAGGTCCCCCAGATGATTGCATGTTTGTAGCGTGGTACTGAATCACAGATGATTTCCCAAGATGCGATTCCCAAATCCACACCTCATGAAAGTCCTCCCCTTCGACTCCCCAGTTCTACAGGTGATTTCCCGGTTGCCAGTTGTACACACCGCAGAATTCTTGGGCGTTAAGTTTGGGTTCCGGGGTTGTGACTAGAGGTAAGCTGGTCAAATCTGGATGCATTCTGTAACGAATATGGGTTTTCATGCCCGAGAAAAAAAGAAAAAAAATTGGAGGAGATAGCCAGAGACTGAAGCCCGGGGCAGTGAGTGCAAATTCGCTTCTTCTGCTTGGTGCCCTATCTTTTCAACCAACCCTCTTGCATAGAAATTTCGGTGGGCATGAATGGTGCAGTAGGTCTAGAGGTACTATGCATTCTGATTTGGCCACATTTTGCCGGACTTGGCCAGCTTACCTAGTCACAACCCCGAAACCTACCTCCAACGCTCTGGAAATCAGCCGTCGGTACCTACCTACGTACAAGTACATATGTAATAACTAATGTAGGTACAGTACCATCAGATGATGCAGGCAGTTCACATGGAAGTTGACCCAGCCCGCTTAATGAGAGTCTATCACATGCAGTCGATCAGTTGAAGAGACGATTTGGCGAACGAAAATTCTTCTTTTCCCTAACTAGAGGTACCTAACTAAGTTTACCTGGCTATCTGGCTACAAATCAGAGGTAAGCTTAGGTACGTTGTACAAGAAATTTTTCCCTTTCCCGAACTACAACTCAAACTCAAACTCGAATTCAGATCTCGGTACGGTACCAAATCTTCATGAAGGCGGGCTAAAATCAGGAAACCGAAACAGGTGACAAATGAAACAGATGACGAAAGAAATAAATCCCTCCCTTCCTCCTGGTCACGACAATCCGACATCCGACATCCGTGAGGATCCAAATCTTTGAAGATAGGTAAACGGATCCGAGGAGAAAAACCATGGCAGGCGATGAGAGAAAGCAACTCCTTTCGTCGGCTACTCCTTCCTCATCCACAGGATCCTGGTCCAGCAATCCAGTACGTTGATAATGACTGCACAACTCCTCTCTTGAACTCTTCACCTTCTTTTTCTTCTTCCCCACCACCAGCTGCGATGTCAACTCCCACACCACCTTTTGCCTTCCACTCCCCTTCCATCCCTCTACCATCATCACGACAACCACCACCACCCCATCCATTCCTCGGCCCTTACCGATCAGTAACAACAACCGCACTCCCACCACAATGAACCGCACTCCAAAGCCACCAAACATCCCTATGATAACTCTGCCACTCCCCAATAGCACCAGCAAGACAAGCGCACGGATTCGGTCCTCCACCCACCATCACACACATTTCCTCCTTCTCGCGAGTAATCTTGCATCCACCGCCAGCCACACAGATCTCCGTGGCCCGGTCCATAGGGGACATGGTGTCATGCCAGCGGTGCGCGTCGTCGTTGTGCGCGCAGTTGCAGACTCCGCTGAGGTCGGCGTTTCGGGCACTCAGAGTGGGAAGGGGAGGAGAGGCGGGGGATTGGGTTTCCTGCTGGTTCTGCTGCTGCTGGCGGTTGAGGTTATCATAAGTCTGTTTCTGCACTCTTCTGAATTCCGCAAGGGCTTCAGGATCTTGGTAAGGGCCAATAGGTTGGTATTGAGGCAAACGGGGGACATTGGCAGCCCTAGCAGTACCAGTTCCAGTACCAGCACCAACAGAAGCAGAAGCAGAACCAGCACCAGTACCAGTGTCCTTAGGAGGCTCATAAGGGCTGATAGGCCGGAACCTAGCTGAACGGGGGACATGGCCACCCCCAACATGAACCGCACCAGTCCCAGCAACATCAGCCGCACCCCCAACAGCAGCACCAACCAAAAACTCGTCCTGAACAAGCGGCGACTTTTCCGGATCAGTAATATTCATATGCTGATTAAACATCCTCGTAAAAGCCTTTTTGTCCAGCGGCAACAGGGTCTCGCCAAAGACGAAACCTTCGGGTAACGCCTTAAACTCAGTCTTGGATTTGGACTCTGTTGCCTGCCCCTGCTCCTGGGCACGAGGGGCGGTTGTTGCTGTTGCTGCCAAGGGAACAAGGACCTTTGGACGGACGCGGCGGTGGGGGCGACGGCGGTGGGTTTGACTGGTGTGGATGGTGGGCTTGGAGCTGCTGGAGGGGGAGGCGGAGGCAGAATTGGTACCGGTTTTGTGGGTGAGGTTGGTTTGGTGATTGCGGTCGAAATTATTGATGGGAACGGGGATGAGGGTTTTGGGGGGCTTAAAGTCGGGAGGGAAGGAGATTTCGGGTTCATCGGCTGTGTGGGTTTCAGTGTTGGTGCTACGGATACCTCTAGCGGTGTGGTCGTGGCCGTGGCCGTGGTTGTTGGCGACGAGGGTGATGTTGGACGGGAGGACAGGACCGGGGCCAGCCAAGATGTTCAGATCTGGATCAGTGACCTCCGGAGGGGCAAGTTGACGAGGAGCAGTCACCTTTCCCTTGCCCTTGGCCTTGGCCTTGGCTTTGGCTTTGGCTTTGGCTTTGGCTTTGGCTTTGGCTTTGGCTTTGGCTTTGGCATCAGCCTGCATTTTCTCAGCTTCTTCAAGGGTGATTTCCTGGGACGGAATAAAATAACCGGCGTCGCGCAACTCATCCTTGATGGCCTTATTGTTGGAAGTGGAAGGGATAACCGGGCTGGGGTCCTTCAGCTCTGTCGGGTTAACCGAAGGATGGGAGATGTGATGAAGAGGGGCCTTTTCCTTGTCCTTGACCTGGTTTTCATCAACCTCGACAGTCAAGCCGGCGGGATCGATATCGTTACGACGAGCGACCTTGACCTGGTCTTCGTCAGCCTCGACAGTAAAGCCAACAGGATCGGTATCATTCCGGGGAGAGACCTTGACACCATCCTTGTCCTCGATCTGCTCCTCATCGACATCAACAGTCAAGCCAGCAGGATCGATATCATTCTCCTCGCCTTCAACAACCTCCTCGCCACGGGCCCCAACCGACGGAACCAGCTTCCCAACCACCCCCTCCTCCACGCTTCTCTCCCCCACGTTCGGGGAATTCCCCATCTCAGGGGGATAGTCAGTGAGGTTCTTGGGAGGCCACTCCTTAGGCGGAATCTCCCCCCTATCCTCGAAGATGTTTTGGCACTCGATACACCCCTCCCTCGCGTCCTGGGGGAAGGTTGAGTTCCGCCATACCGGGGTCGGAGACGGGAAGGCCGTGGTAGTCGTGTAGGTCGTGGCAGTGTTAGTCACCATGTCCGAGTATAGGATGATGGTGACTGTCGTCCCGTTTTCGACTACGACCGTTGTGCCAATTGGGCCGGGACTGAGGCCGAGGGGTTGGCCTTCCTCCTCCGACGATGGCCTGTTGGACGTGACGAAGGTCGTCGTCGGGGCAGTACGGTTGCAGTTGCAGTGACGGTGAGAGTTCTGGAGATGGTCTTGGTGGGGGTGACGACGACGTTGACAGGTGCCTCTTCTTTCTCTTCGACCTCCGTTGAAGTCACCGTTGTGCTTCCCACGCTGGTAAATGTGGTGCTGCGGGTTCGGATGGACTTCGTGGAAGAGGAGGAGGAGGAGGAGGCGGAGGAGGCAACTTCGGTGACGACCTCAGTGACGGCCTCGGCAGACGAAGAAGAAAGTTTCGCGACGGGAGATGGGGTTTCGTCGACGGGAGATGGGGTTTCGTCGACGGGAGATGGGGTTTCGTCGACGGGAGATGGGGTTTCGTCGACGGAAGACGAGACGACCTCAGTGACAACCTCGGTAGCTGTGACCACCGGGTCGGAAGAGGAGACAACCTCGGTGACGACCACGGTAGCCGTAACAACATCGTCATCAGAGGCAACGACATCACCATCGTCAGAAGCCGACTCAATACCGTCAAAGCCTGGGGTATCAGTGGCCTCGGTCTCGGCCACCAGTTCTGTCTGACTCAACGTGGAGGTGCGGGTGATGGTGCGGAGGTCGTTGCCACGAGCGAAGATTTTGTGGTCGACGGGAGAGGGTGTGGCGACAGCGGCAGCGACAGGGGTAACCACGACCGGGGCGGGAGCGGGTGTGGGGGCGTCCGGGATGGAGATCCAAACGCCAGGCTTGACGTGGGTGGATTCCCATCTGGCAAGGGCCGCCGAGATGTCTTCGGTGCGGCTGACGTAGATCACCGGCGCCGGGTCAAAGTCGGTGGGCCCGTAGACGGCGACTTCGGAGACACCGGTGGGGACGTCGATGACCGTGGTCACAAGAGGAGGGGGGAGGAAATCCCGCGTGAATATCGGGTAGTAGTTGATCACGCTGGTCGGGAGCCGGGTCCACTTGAAGGGGGTCAACATGGAGTCGGGGTAGGTGAGGCACGGGCACATGATGGTGGTGAGTGGGCGTTTGTGCGGTATTGGCAGCGGGTCACTGTTCTTCAGAGGATGCTTTGGCTTGCGCTCCGGCGGGGTGTTGGTGGGCGAGAGGTTGTTGGGGTTGTTTGGGTTCCGGTATTGAGGTTGGGGAGGGCGGTGACGAAGGTTGAGAAGGCAAGGGCCGCCAGAGCGGCCATGAGGGACTTCTTCCTGATTGAGAGCATCTTGAATAGTCTGTTGGAGAGAAGGATTAGTGAGCTGTTGTCAGATGATGCGGTGGAGGATGGAGGGTAAAGGACGGAAACCTGGAAGGGAAAGGGAAAGGGAATGAAGGATGATGGCGACGACATACTATCGGAGGATGATGTAGGCAATTTCAAGACCTGTGGAGACTAGACAGTTAGCGGAAGCTTTTTGCTCAGGTGCAAGTTTGGTTTGGTCGAGAAAATGCTTGGAAATCAGGCCTGACTCCTGATGGTTGGGTGAAGGCTGGGTCAAGAAAGAGAGAATGGAAGGGGAACTGTGAAGGATACATATATGACACTCAACAAGCCCGTCCGGGAAATTTCACCTCGAGGCCATGGCCATTCCTCGGACCAGGAAATGCGAGTGCAGGCAATAAAAAGAAAACCCTCAGCCGTTGTCTGCTTCGGATGTCCGTCATAGATATTGGTGCAGCTCGCCACGAGTGTGGTGGTTGAGGTACCGCATAATCCGGAGGATATTGTTCAGCTCCCATGAGAATCAGCCATAATCTGTACACTTGAGGCCACGCACCTCTTGAATTGCACAGATGTATGCTCAAATTCTCTTCTTCAACCTAATCCCCAAGGCACCATGTCATGATGTACATAAATTCTGCCAGTTGGGCCTCGGAAGTTGAAGTATACAGCACAGTTGTCGGGATGCAAAAAAGTGTAAACGTAGGCTGCTGTACCGAGAACATGGTCCTGGAGTCACCACATCGCCATGACAGCTGAGTGTACCTCACATTAACCGTGGGTGTGAGGCCGACTAAGCAGAAAGAGATTGGGTGTTGCGTGCTTCTACAGATCTCACCATACCACACGCGCACGGTTATGTTGACAAAAGGGGAACACTCTAAAAGCAGCTGTGTAGCTTCACTGTCTTCATAAACAAGCGTGGTTACCCATGCGTGTGAGATTGGCCTTGTGACGAGGCTGGCCGGATTACACTTACTATGTGATTTGGGGACAGCATTTTAATATAGGACAGCTAATATACTGCCCATTTGTTAGGAATTAGGTAGAAAAAAGGAACACTCAAACCTATAAAACTACGACATGAACAATTTAAAAGATACAACTTCCAAGAAAGCTTTAGGAAAATAAGAACATTGGGAGAATTTTACACGATGATCTGATATCTGGTAGTAGTGTTATTTACAAAAAAAGAGATGAAAAGGTCACTAGAATGAGATATAGGTATTGACCGTCTTGGCTGGAGATGTGGCGTCCATAAACCTTAAGTGACACCACAATATTAAGAAAATGAGAAAAATTTCAATGTGTACCACTTAATCTCCCTCCATTAGGTAGAAACTCTTGGGAAATTCTAAAATGTTCTCAAATCTCCAAAGATTGTTCCTTTTTATTTGCATCCCTCCTTTTTATGTTGTTGTCGTGTTGTATCTTCATCTCTCTGCTCACTATCACTTTTCTTACCTAACTATTCCTACATAATTTCTATTATACCAAATTAGGATGCTATCCAGAACTAAATGGCCTACTCCCTGCAAGAGAGTGAGTATAGTCTGGCCAGCCAGCCTCTCTTACATAACTAACCTCGCCTTACACCCACAGACAACTCATAATCGTCGAGTGTCTTCATGTTAATCTCGCTACAAAATATTCCATCTCACGCAAATTTGCCACGCCGTTTTGGACACGTGCGTCGACTTACATGTACATGCCAGCAATCACTTCCACTTACATACCACACGCGCAGGCAGAGCAAGTTACCTAGGTACCTCTATGGTTACCTATCAGTGAAAGAAATACGGACCTTGTTCACAACCAGATGATGTGCATCACCACATGCAGTAACGGGCAAACAGTTGGGGGCAACCGAGCCTCAAGAGTTCCTTATGTTGCTGTAAAGTGGTTTGGGCCCCTTTTTTCCTCCGTTATTTCTGTTCATGCATCTTGTGTAGGTCTGCATTCTTGGTCTGCATTCTTGATAGGTAGTAGCTGCAAAACTATGGCACTGGCAGTCAAGTCACCGCACCTATGCTCGCCGACCGCTACCGTGACCCAAACGGCTGGGACGAGTCTGCGTCCAACTGGACTTCAACATGAAATTCGTCATCGGCACAGCCACGTTATCACAGTCACGAGTACGAGCATCACAAGCTTAACCAGGCCATCAACCACAAACACCAGGGGCAGTCACGGAAAACATAACATTCAAAGAAATTAGAGGTAAGAAGCCCTCATGCACTCGCTACCTACGTACCTTAGGTACCTACCTAATCTCCATCCGGACACCCCCAACCCATGCAGTTTTATTCACAAGCATCAATACAACGCCCTCTTTCGCCCCCTTCCAAATTATATTATCGTCTGCCAGGCTGCCGCCACGAGCAATATGAACACCAAAATCGCCACAAGGAAAAGCCCCAAATTCGACATCGCCACAAGAAAGGAACTCCCCCAAGCCCCAAACTCGACATAGACATAGACATAGACATGAAGAACACCTACTGATGCCACCCAGCCCCCCAGCCCTCCAGTCTTGCACCTTTTCACCTAGGTACCAGCTGTTTTCACCAGCTGTTGTTCCGCAGATGTAGGTACCTCTACGTACACATCAAGGTGTACACATCAAGCTTGAGGTATTGAACTCAACGTGCCCCCCCAGCCAGCCCAGCCCCGTACCTGACTGCATGTACCTGACTACCTTACGTTAGGTACAAGGTAGTAGTAGTAGTAGTCTACTCGCCGTTGCCTCGGTTAAGCCGCTCAGACCGCCCAGTGACCAGTGACCACCGCCCAGTCACCACATGCGTTGTGCAGTCCCTTCCATCCGGGCCTGACCCGTTCCATCGGAAATTGGAAATCGGGGGGTTCTTACCTCTACACCCGAATTAACAGCTACCTACCTAGGTATCTCCCAGGAGACCATTCCGATTCCGACTCGAACCTTCAGGACCAACTCCAAGGGGCAGCCCTACCTATCTCTAGCTATCTACCCTACACTAGCGATTATCAACCGTCATCACAGCTCCCATGCTCACGGCTCCCATGCTCACGGTCCACATTCCACGAGTCCCAAGCTCCCAACTGAAGTAGAGGAGAGGAGCCTACAATCTACAAGATTTGGAATCAAGCAAAGCGCTCCTAATAATCCAGATGCCATCATGCCAATCATCATGCTAACGCCTCTCAGTCTCGCTCTCAGTCTCCCTCCCAGTCAGCAATCAACACTCAACCACTCAACACCCACAACAACACTCAACAAAACGCTCGATACTCAACACTCAACGCTCAACATAACTCCTTGAAGTCTCCCGTCTCCCCCATCGTCGATGACTGGATTCCTAGTCCCGATGATTCCCAGTCCCGTTGTCCATTCCTGCGCAGTAATCAGTCCCAAGTCCCAACTACCTACCTACAAGCCTCGACTAGGTCTTATGTACCTTACCGTTCAGTCTTCTGTTTCTCTCCGTGCAAGACTTATCAATCCGAAAAACCCCAAATCTAATTCACAATCAACTCGATTCCACACCAGATATGAATGTAACCGACACCAACACGGAACAACAGTGGAACCTGCAAGTAGGTACCTTACCTAGAGCACCTCTTGGTAGGTAAAGTTTTGAAATGACTCATCCAGATATCAATGTACCTTATTAATATAGGTAGAGACGGAAACAGTGAAACATGAGACCATGTATACTTGAGTACCCGGTTTTGAGAGCGAAAAAAAAACAAAAAAACGGAAGAAAAAAAAAAGGGAAAAAAAAGGAAAAGGAAAAAAAAACCAAAAAAAACACTGGAAATATCGAACCCTAGAGGACCAGTAAGTATCGACACATAACCCACTTCCATCTTTCCAGTCCAAAAGCTCACTGCAACCCGCAAGGGGATCTTGCTGCCCAAAAAGGGTAATTCGGAATAAAATAGAAATCAAGTACACTAACCACTGACCGCCCACGCACCGTGTCCACCGTATTGGGACCAAGTCGAAGTATTGAGTATCGAGATCTCGGGCGTCTCCCTCCAGCGGCGAAGGTCCGAATAATCCGTGCAATAAAGAAGGTAAACCGAAAATATCACGCGCGCGAGTGGCCCTTTGGTCGGTTGACTTTGTTAGTTTAGTTGAGGTAGTAAAGGTACTTACCTCCAACTCTCCAAGAGTCTTCAAGCACCAGGAACACCACCCTAGAGAGTGTACTAAATGTGGGCAAGTCGAATTCATGGGTGTATATGATCGCTGATGCTATTCTTCGCTAGACTACACTACTTCTCTACTTCTTCTGCTCCATGACTCGCTGTTATCTAACCATGACCATGATCCTATCTGATAGATCAATATCCGTCGGTCTTTGTGTGTTCCGTATGCTCTCCTACACTTCCACTTACTCATTCCCCATCCTCGGTCTGGGTATCTTTCCCCGTGTCACTCTGATTTGTGTCACTCTGACTGTCATACATCCTCCCCAAAGCCTCCGTCTGCTCTCGACTCAGGCTTAAACCTCCTACTCTTCTCAACAGATGCCTCACATTCTGGCTTTCATCGTCATAACCACCACTCTGAGCTCTACCAGCACTGGCACCACCAGCACCAGCACCACCACCAGCACTGGCACCCCCAGCACCATTACCAGCACCAGCAGTAATATCAGGATTAGTCCTAGAACGAACAAGTCCAGGAGTAGGAGGAACCCTCGCGCTATCAGCCAAAAACCTCTGGCGCAGCGTCGGGCCTGAATGTGTACCGGTAGCGAACTGGATATGCCTCCCTCCACTTGCACCACCGGCGGTCCCAAACCCACTTCCAAACCCATGCTCATCCCCTAGACCAGCACCCTAAGCCTGGCTCCCCATAGGTGAAACCAATCCCCCCATCTCCCCCACCCTCTTCCTCAACTCCTCCCTCTGCTTCAACCATTTAGCATACGGTTTCTTGGGAACCATCTTCTTCTTGCCATCAACACTCTTTCCATCCACCTCAAGCGAGGCATCCTGCCAAACATCAAACTTGCACTCCCCCCAAACCTTCAGTTGATTCTTGAAATTCTCGTTGGGCTCAACTTCCTTGCGACGAGATTCCACGAACCGTAAGGCCTTACCGACTGACCAGGTTGGGTTCTGCTTCATGATGTAAGCGACGCAGGCGGCGCCGGAGCGGGAGACGCCTTGGTTGCAGTGGATTAGGACTTTTCTGCCGGTGGTTTCAGAGGGAGAAGGGAGGCTTGAGAGGGATCCGGAGGGGCCGTCTTGAGCGGAGGGTGAAAGAGCGGAGAGTTGGGAGGGTGTTGAGCTGGAGCCTGGTGGGAGGTAAGATGATAATTGATGACCTGGGCCCGGGAGTGAGGGAACGGGAGCAGACGGAACGGAGGGGATTGATCCAGAGGGAACAGAGGGAATCGGTTTCGGAGATGTCGATGGCCCACCAGCTGATTCGACATCATCGGGGATCAACGACCTCACACGTTGCTTCTGTGGTGCGGGTGCCGAACCAGACTCCCTCCTCGACTTCTGCCTAGTCAACTCCGCCATGTCCTCAGCACCCTTCGCGGCCGCCGGCTGCTTCGGTGGCAATCCCTCGACATTCCCATCCGCATCAGGAATCAAACTCCGCACCCTCTGCTTCGGTTTCGGCGGCTCCTGACCAGTGTTGAACCCCTTAGGCAGCTCACTGGCAGGCAACACATCCTTCAGCACGTCCTCGACAGATGGCTTCCTACGCCTTTGCCCACCTCCAGGAACCTCAAGACCCCCTTCAAACCCGCCGCCGTGACCCTCAACCTGAGCCTGCACAAACTCGCAAATCATGCCTAACCTCCCGACCAGATCCTCCTCCGGTGAATCATCACACCGGACGAACAGTCTGTTCTGCTTGGGGACCAACATCTCCAAAGCGGGCGAGTTCCAGGCCTCCTCATTGAGTTGCTGCTCCGCAGTCGACAGAAGAGAAACCATGGATGTGATACCGTAGTGCATCAGCGTCTGGATAGACGTAGAACTGGCATTGTTCCCGACGAAAACATTAGGTGTGATCTGGCTGATGGAAACTCCAGGAGGGAGAACGAAGGGGGTGCTACTGCTGCCCGGGCTAGGGGAACGGTGGTCGGAGGTGCCACTGGGTGAGCGGCGGTGCTGGAAGGGCAATGGTTGGTGGGAGAAGCTGGATGAGCGGTGGTCGGAGGGGTAAGTGGGTGCTGGAACGGAGATGCTGGGGACAGAAGGCGCGGCAGCGGAAGGGGTCGAACTGCGACTGCGCGTGGAGGGTGAAGACTTGCGGCGTTTGATCTCGTGATGCTCAGAAGAGGAACCGTGTCCGATGGGGGGAGCGGGTGGTGGTGGTGACATTGTTGAGGATGATGTTGCTGTTGTTGGGTTGGTTTGCGGTGTGGTAGTAGTAGCGAATGATGTTGAGCTGAAAGCGGGATCGTCGAGTAGAGATGAGCCTCTGCGAGTTGATGTGGACGGATCACTGGTAGTGATGTTGGTAGTTGATGTGGTTGTGGAGGAAGAAGACATGGAAAGGGACTGGGGCAGAAGAAGTTGGCTTGGTTTTGTTTTGATGGTGATTGTTGTTTGGTCTCCGGCAGTTACGTCTAATGTAGTTTGGTTTCGGGAACAGGAAGGCAGGAATGCGATGGTGATACAAAGGTGAGTCGATAATGTCGCACGTTGGTTCAGGAACAGACAGTGGCGATCATATAAAAGGGAAGCCGTCGGTGACCCCGGAGTTGTGATCGGGCCTGGTACGTGGTGTGAGCATGGGTCCCCCCGGTGGAGCCTACCGGAAGCAGTGACGTAGGGTCTCAAACAGACGTCAACGCGTAGGCCAAGGTCTGGACCAAACTCAAAAACCTTATCTTGACAGCATCGTGGTGGAGTCACCAGGAACAGGAAATAAACCACTCGGTAGACGATAGGACAAAACGTGCACCCTAGGATCCGCGTCATTGTTAAGATATCGTTAAATGTGCCCAGGAAGGCGGTGCTGAGGCTCATTGTTTCTTGGGTCCCTTGGCAGCTATCACTGATTCGCACATGGATCGGCAGTTGATATCGAGCATCTTTTTGGTAATTCCTTCTTTCCTCTGGTTGATTGTCATGGCCATCTTTGCTCAAGTGGTATCGTTCGCTGTGTCCGTCCGCGGGTCGAAGGCGGAGACCCGACTTGTCGCTGAACACTTCTGAATGGAATTCGCACCCCATCACTGCACCCCACTCGCAAGCCTGCAGTTGCTTTTTGCTCCATGGTCCTGCCCATTCAACACTTTGCATCACACCACCTTCCAGGTTCGAACCACGTTTGTTCGCTTCTTTGTTACTGCTTGTTGCGAAATTTTCTCACTGCGTCCTTGAAACCCAGTGCAGGAGCAGGTCGTCAAATGGCGCAAATGACCTTGATTATGATCACTCTCCTCGGGCCTTCCCAATACCCTCATTTCCCAAAACGATTCCTTCTCATACCCCTTCTCACGACTCTTTCCGTGCCCCATCCAAAACCACAACCCAATCCCACACCCACCCACACCCATCCCATCGCACCTCCCGCATCCAATCTAATACCCACTCTCCCGATCCATCAAATTCACCAACCTCTCCCCCTTCCTCATCCTCTCCAGATTCTCCTCGATAATAGCCTTGACCCGCTCAAAGTAGTACGGCGTCTGCCAACTAACATGAGGCGTAACGAAGCACTTGCCCGGCATCTTCAAGAGCTCATGTCCCTCCGGTAGAGGCTCGGGGTCCGTAACATCCAACGCTGCGCCGCGGATCTTATCCTCCTTAAGCGCTTCCACCAGCGCATCGGTGTCGACGTGCTGGCCACGGGCGATGTTTGACAAGAAGGTCTTTTTCTTGGACAAAATGTCGAATTGTTTCCGGCCGATGATTTGTTTGGTTGATTCCGTGAGGGGCAAAGAGACGACGAGGACGTCCAGGTCTTGGGACAGGAAGTTGTCAATGTCGTCGCGCGAAGGGCCGGAGAACCATTTCGCGGGGATGACACCGTCTGGGTCGCCGGTGCCGGGGACGTGGTAAGAGTCGTCCTTGCGGGACTCGGGGGTTGGTTTGGGCCGGCGCGTGTAGGCGTAGATTTCCATGCCTAGAGCTGAAGCGACGCGGGCTACTTGTCGGCCGATGGCGCCGTAGCCGAGGATGCCCATGCGCATACCGGGAGAGTCAACGGTGGTTAGGTGACGGAGGACTTGGGATTTCCCGTCGTTGACAGCGGCGTCATGGTAGGCGAGGAAATGGTGGGAAAGCATTAGGTAGGTGCCGATTACCCATTCGGCTATTTGGGGGCTGTGTTGCAACTTGTCAACACCCCTTACTTTCTCTCAACACGTGGAAGGGACAACTCACGGATGACACCCATTAGCAGTACAAAACACCACATCCTTATTCAGATACAACGGATGCTGCAACCACGGATCCGCGCCAGCACTGGTAAGCTGCACCCATTTCAACTTGGGCAACAACTCGGCCTTGTGCGGGTAGTACGAGCACAGCATGGTAACGCCATCATACTCCTCCGGCGCCGTGCTCTCATCGTCCCGCCCGTAGTCTTGCCATGAGCGATGTACCCACCGGACTTTGAAGCCGGGGTATTTGCTTTCGAGTTTGTCGATCCAGGCTTGGTCCGGGGGAAGAGGCACGTGGAGCATGAGGATGTCGTTCTTGAACATGTCCAAGTTGCCCTCTGCCCCAGTGGAAGGGGAAATGGTTACTGTGGAACCCATTTTGGCGTGCAATTGCTACTGACGCCGCTAAGAGTGACGAGTGGTGAAGCTTGCACCGAGTTGGTGTGGTACTGCGTGGTGATGATGCAGACCGGTGATCGATAAATATCTGCGCCGGTTTACGGACGAGAGATCAGGTGAACTAGTGGAGAAACTGGGGAATAAGAACTCCACGGCGGGGTCTGTAGGGATGTGTTATGTAGCAAGGAATGAGGCTGGATTATTTTGCATCACCACCGTAAAATGTCAGAGAATGATCGAATAGAAGACCTTCAAGTGTTGACAATGATCGCGATACAAAATTCCAACGGTTTGGGTAACTCCAGATTTTATGACACATGCCAACGGCGCAGTAATTCCGCGGTTCCAATTAGTAAGTATCGGAGCTAACTGAAGAGGGGTAAATCGACCGGGCTCTCTCGGATCTCGGCTCATGCGGAGCGGGGCCGGTGGTTTATCGGGCAGCGCACCCCGGCGCCAAGGATATCGGATACCGGATACCGGAATGCAGAATAACGGTCGCCAAGCCGCGACGGGAAACATCGGACTTGGTGCTCCGGGTATTGTTTTCTCAGCGCCCGATCCGAGTCTGGTGCCAGAACGCACAACATTTCCATTGTGCCGAATGAATGCATCAGTGTCGGTGGGTTTCTTCGAAATACTGAAATCGAGAAGGCCAGCAGAAGGGGATAACCTGGAACAGACCCAAGCCATGTAGGAGGAGGGTCAAGTGGCTGTCGCTCCTGACCATCTTGGGTTCCGTAAGCGACTGCCCTTCCCTTCGCCCTTCCGTCATGAGTAAGCCGGAGATTCACGAGGCATGGAGTGGGACGAGCGGCTCGCTGCTGTTTCGCGATGCCTTCAGTAATACCACAAAGAAATCGCAGATCGTGGCACGCATGGAAGACCTCCAGAACCTCGGTTATTGGCAAGCAGTGGTATTGTGCCCTTAAGTCATTTATTGATAGCCTGGCATCGGAGTGTGGAAGAACGTATTCCAGGGTATTTGAAGCTCGTCAACGTTCCCGTTCTGGACCTGATTATCCCACATGTGCTGTTGTATCCATGTTAGCTTGTCGTTGCAGCCCAGATCAACGAGTATCTATTTTTGCTTACCCAGTCTGCTGTCAAGCTCGGATCCATGAACTGGCTCATCGTGTTATAGGGGGAAAAGTCCACAGGCCCCATTGGCGGAGGGAGGTCTGGCTGCCACGCCGGGGAATACTGCATCTGCTCGGCAATCGGGATTGTTGCCGTTTGTGGCATCGCTATAGGTATGGCAACAGGTACGACCTGGTTCACGGTTGTGGGAGCCTGAGGTTGTGTATAGTAATAGGGGTTCGCTCCGGTGACTCCGATCGGTACAGCGCCTGAACCTGACAAACAGTGTTAGTCTATGCTGTAGAACGAAAGCTACAGTCTAAGGAACAAGATAGGAAGGTTGCTTACCTGATTCTTCGTTTGCCATGGTAGACGCCTGAAAGGAGTCGTATGCGCTACCCGATGATTCTGGGCTGCTTTCGAACACGGCTCCTGTTGACATGCACAGCATTTTCGACAGAATTTTGAACGCCCTGTTCGCTTCGGCCGACTGCTTCCTTGTCGACTGCCAGATCTGCCGCGAGGTCTCGAGCATCTGCATCAACTGATCCTTCGAAATAACATCGTTCTCGACCGTGTCAGACTGCATATCAGCGGGAGATGCCTCCCTTTTCTCCCTGGCTTTGATGTATGAAAGTTCGAGACAGAGGATCATGCCGGCGAGGAGAAAGTCATGATTGCTAATACTAGTTCGGAAGAACGAGCCGTTTTTCTTCTCCGAAGTCAGTCGCCCCCCTGGTTGTCGCTCACAGTGAGCATCGTATTGGCATCGCAATGTTTTGGTGGCCGCGTCCAAACAGACCTGCTGAGAGTGCGTGTAACGCTTATCCGTCCTTCCGATGCCCATGTATCTTCGGTGCAGCACTATCCTGGCCTTTTGATACATCAGCTCCATCCAAAACCGCTGCATGACGACGTCGATAGGATCATCCGTGGACTCGGCGAAGCTGCGAAACTGGAGGAGATGAGGAAGACTTTTGTGGGCGTCCTCAAGTTGCTTGTCGAGACGAATGACTTCAGCGTAGCTGATTGGATTCCTCGAGCACATGGCTGCTGTGATATCCCCAAAGGCCCGTATCATGCGAGATTTCACAATGTTCAGGAGGATGGGGGTAAACTCGGATTCGGGCCTGGAGGGCGGAAGTTCCTTGGTCGTCTCGTCAAAGTCTTCGTCGAGAAGATTGCGAGGGATTTCGGTGTCGTAGAAGCGGGGCTGGATATTGCTAGGGAGTCCAAACTGGAACGAGACGACCTGATCAACCTCGACGAAGAGATACCAGAGCCTCCTGCGCATTTCACCCTCAAACGGGCTCATGGTAGGATAATGCTTCGGGTCCCGATGTAACCCCATATGCATGGACAGTCGGATTATGTTGGAAAAGATGATGGACGTGCTGAGCGGTGCGTCTGGCTGGCCGATAAACTCAATGATAAAATACATATACAGGGCCTCGAGCTTGTTTTTTCCTGGCGTGCTGTAGTCAGAAAGCGCAAGGGCGTGAGCGCCTGTGGTTTTGAATATGCTGTATGCCTGCATCGGGCTCCCTAGGTTGCCAGGAACTGCCTCTCCCGTATGACTACAGAATACGGCGGAGTTGGCGAACAAGAGGAAGAAGAAGGCCAGGTCGGCATACGAATACTCGGCCCCTTCTTGCCAAAGCGCATTGTAGTATTTCCAAAGCGTGGGGAGATGGAAGACTGACCAGGAGGGGTCTTTTACCTCAAAGAATATGTTCAGGAGACGGTCGCATACTGGCTTCGGTGGCAGGCGTCGGAACATGTCAGCCAAGGGAACAGGAGCAAACCCGCCAGCAAAGAGGACTGAGGCGGGGTAGCGTTCTGGTACATTGCTGGGAGAACAGTCTTCCTCTTCATCCTCCGAGCTTTCATCTGAGGCTTTGAGATTCTTGGTCAAGGTGGTAATCTGGACACGACGGGGTTAGGGTTAGATATTTTTCCTTGAACAAAGTCCACGTATGCCTACCTCGTCGAGGACTGCTTCCCAGTGGATGACTTCCACATATCTTGACGGATCGGCCATGGCGCCTGCTGTCCCCTTGGCCATTGATCCTGCATCGGGCTGCGTCTCTTGCGACATTGACCCGACAGAGGGCGAGGGAGGGACGGGGGAAATACCCCTAGACGAAGCTGGGACGTCCGCACCAACGCTCTCCTCACGGCGCATTTGTGCTTTCAAGACCTGGACCATATGCTCGAGGTGCCGAAGGCGGGCTGCCGCCGTCATGTCCTGAAGAGGCCCTTTCCTGTTGCGAGAGCTACCACTGCCTGAGCCGGGTGTTGCGCCCGAGACTGATGGGGGTGGGCGAGGCTCATTCTGGGCATAGGGAATAAAGTTGCATGTTGAGGCGACATTCCTCTTGATACACTGGTCGCAGGGTGACTGTCGGTTGCACTTGAGTCTTTTCCCTGGTCAGCCATGAGTGCGAACAGGGTGAATATCGACGGAATACGGGTGGCGGTGGTGAGCGGCCTTACTTTTTCTCTCGACATGTGGTACACGAAAACCGAATCCGATTCCTCTTTCTCTGCTGGTCTGCCCTCTCATCTTCGCTTCCTCTGAAGGCCGTGGGAGGTGTTGTGGATGGTGTGGATGCATCCATCGTGGGAGGCGTGCTGTCGTTGGTGGTGTATATCATGTAGTTGCTGACTGCCCAGCACTTAGTGTACCGCAGTGCTGGGAGACTTCGTAAGCTTCGGGTCGCAACAGTGGGAATAGCACGACCGCTGCAGATTGGACGGGAGGGCAATTGTACGATGCAAAGCAACGCAAACAAGGAATGCTTGGTACGCCGAGGTAGATCAGGAACTTGTGGAAGTCGTGAGAGAGGAAATGAAGGACGGGAGTTGATGTGCGCGCGCGCTAAGAGGAGAGGAGATGGCCAGAGTTTTGTCAGGCAACAAAGTGGTGTCAACAGCCATTCACAAAAAAGACTAAAACCCTCCGAGCGGGATTCCAGATCCAGCAACGGAAACAAGTCAACTTCCAGTTCCAAAACATCGCCGACAGGGCCCAATACTTTCAGAGTAGCCCAAGTAGCGCCATGTCGGGCATGTGGTTGGCTTGCGGTTGGCTGTCAGAGCGAGGCGAGGGGAGGACGACGTTGCGACAATCCCTAATCCCCGGGAGCTCCCGCATAAAGACAGTGTGTTGCTTCTGTGACAGTGTCGACTGTCTCCTGTCAACGGCACCTGTTCCCAACCCTTCAATCACAACGCTGCACCGGAGGCGTATCCGACCCGGCCCTTCCTTCTGGATTCGACGCCATGGCCCGCCCAGAGTAGCCTCAGGGTTGCGCTGCAGACCTGTTGAGTGCTGTCCGCCTTTTGGCCGTCACCGTGTCCTTGTCCACTAACAGGTCCTCTGGCGTGGGGAGTCGATCCGATTCGACCGTGTTGGGCATCGCTCGAGTGCTGTCGCCTGTCGGGGATCGAGGTGGCATTGGGGTGTCGCGCTATGCGGTGCTATGCCACAACTGGTGCCACGAAAGAGGAAATAGTTCTTCGTTGTCGAAGGGTGAACCCGGCCATGTGGATTGATTGCCCTGCTTGTTCTGGATTTGTTTCGCGCCTGGATAGAACGTTGGAATCAACGATACCTAGTCGGAAAACTTCTGGACCTCAGCGCGCCGCCAGCAAATGATGGCAGTTGATAAGGCTTGCCTAGCGTGCAAGGCTCCGTCGCCCCGGTGATCCAGGCTCCACATGTTCGTCTCTGAGCGGAGTGCCGTCGGTCGGAGTCCCGTGCTGGGCTCTGAATGTGGGGTTGACAGCTGGCCCCGCCCCGCTGTTAGAGCACAAAAGTACCCCGCAGTTCACTGTGCCTTCCAGCTCCAGGCGCTTGATGCTCGCCAACCACAAGCCCGAGGACCAACCCAAAGAACCGCGAATTGCGACCACTTGAGGTGCCGACGTCAGGCCCGCCCGCCCCGTTGGTGTCGACTTGTCGCAAACCTTTCCACCCAGATTCCTGTGACCGAAACATTCTGCCTTATCCTTCGACGACGGCGATATCCTAGACCCTTTCCGATACCGAACCGAATCCGTTTGCAAGTTGAACCCGTCGCCGGCGCATAACCACCACCTTCTCGTCGCGATGCCCTCACTGCCCGAAGCCAGCAATGGCGAGACCAGAAGCAGTCCGCTGCTGTGGCGCATCATGAAATTCTTCCTCCGACCCTTTCGCGGCCCCATCGATCGTGCCCGTCGTGCTTCTCGCGCCGCCGCATACCCCATCGAGGGCATCTACTACTTTCTGCGCCATCCCGAATTCTACCCCGTATTCCTAGGCCGTTTGCTTCCGCTGTCCATCATCTCGTTCCTGGTGTATCTGCTCCTCTTTACTTTTGCCTTTATTCCCCAGCTCCTCTTCTTGATGATCTTCCAGGGAAAGGCAGGAGCTTGGTTCAATGCGATAGTGCTCGTGCTTGGAGAGGGCCATGTGGTGATTCAGGGTCTGTTTGAGGGCTTCTTTGTCGACGAGGCCCAAGTGGATATCTTTGACGTAGGTTGAGTTGGGCTTCTTGATCTGGATGGTGGAAAAACTTTGCTAACCATCGAACTAACAGGCGACGCTAATCAACCATGGTCTGACCGACCTTGTCGCGCCCCATCGTCTGCTCTTCCCCGATGCGCCCACATCCGTCAAGATGTTGGGCAAGCCGACCACCAAGGCCGAGTTCCAACCTTTCAGTCTAAAACAAATCATGGAGCTGATTGTCTTTCTGCCGCTCAACCTGATACCGTACGGTGGCACGGTTGCCTTTCTCATGATTACCGGTGCTCGATACGGAAAGCTGTCGCATCACAGATGGTTCCAGTTGCGAGGGTTGACCAAGAAGGAGATGAAGAGGGAGCGAAGCTACTGGTCTTGGGAGTACACCTGGTTTGGAACAATAGCGATGGTCCTCCAGCTGATACCCGTGCTGAGCTTCTTCTTCCTCTTGACTACCAGTGCTGGAGCCGCTTTGTGGGTGACAAAACTGGAGGAGAGGTCGCGGGTCAGAGTTGGACGGCCCGTTACTGCCAATGACCAGGCTGCCCGGAACCAGCCCGAAGAGCCTGTGTACCATGATGGCATCTACCATGATGATCCGGTATAGATCCGTGGCTGGAGTAAGGGACAGACGTATTGTCTATTATTTCCCATTTCCCAAGGTCAGCGAATATCCTCGTCTTGTTTTAGGTACCCAAACTTAATCACTAGAAAGTCACTCTAGTCTTGCCAATCAATGTTACAGCTATTGTACACTATACTCTTACTCGACTGTCCGGCCCAACATCTGCCCACCGCCGTGTCTCGTACTTCTCATGAGGTTGTCACCCCCCAGGCACTCTGTTGGCAAAGATGACACAACTTCCACACACCAGGAACCAGGAATAAAGGAAAGCATAACCACCCACCAGTGCAATACCGCAGCACCCACCTTGGTACCTGCTTGGTCGGGACGCCGTTCGGTCGTCCCTCTCTCTGTTTCTATCGACGGCCTACATTCTCTCCGTCCAAGGAGAAAGGCAGCTGGCGTGGATCGGGAGGTGGCGCGTGTTGTTTCCGAATTCGACACAGAACGGAAATCTGGAAAGAATGGGGTTCAATTGCTGCGAGACCCTTCCAAGTTTCCTGGGAGGAAGGCCGCCACGGAAAATCCTCGTTGACCTTGTTGCCCGAGTGGCAGGAAGTTTCCAAAGAGAGGATTTTTGCAGCCAGTATTTCCACTTTAGGCCGATGTCGTGAGGAGGAGACAGACTCGACTGAGGTGCCTTGGGCTAGGTGGGCGGAAGGAGAGACGCCCCGGGTCAAGGCAGCAAAGGCACACGAAGGGAGGAAGGGACGAGACGCTGGTCCGGATTGTTTCATCAGCATCGCAGAGGGCGCCTGCAGTCTTCCAGGCGAGGAAAGCGCTCCTCAGCATTTGCAATTCCCGTCTCCGTGGAAGTCTGCCTGCCCCGGTCGGCCCACTCCGAGACTTCCTGTTCGGTTGGGGACGACTCGTGGAAATCTGCCTGTCCTGTAGTCAGCAGTCCGAAACTTCCTGTTCGACTGGGTTTGGTTGGGGACGACTGTCGATGGGAAGTGCGGCCGGGCTCCTTCCACTCCTACCGGTTCGAGGTGGACGAAGATGACTTCTTGCTGCTCCACTGCAAAGTCAGAGTGTCCAGTCTCCTCGATGCGTGTTGGCCATCACGCGAATATGTTGAGGAAGGAGCGATATGCTGAGGAAAGGACAAAGAAGTTCGGGTGGAGACTCTCGTTCTCAAATCTCGATGGCCAAGTCCTCCCGCAAACAGAGGTGACAGTTGAGGAAGGAACGTCTCTCTTGATGACCTCACATGGACCAGTTCCGGCCCTCCGGTCATTGAGGTCCGTAGAGCTCCTTCCATGGCCAACCAAGCACATCATCTCTCTCATTTCCCATTGCAGTCCTGAGTGGGTTCTCATGCATGAAGCTTTTCCCACTTTGTCGACTCTTGCACGATTGAATTCCATGCCTGCCTTCTCTTCCTCGCCCACAATGCACATCTTCCCACTTCCACCACAACCGCTTCCTCCCCAATCCCACGAACACCAACTGCAGAGGAAGTCGACATGCTGCTCGTCCCCGATCTCCCGTCATCTGATTGAATGGTTGGAGACGAGGATGGCCCTAGAGATGGCCTACATAAGGACAGCATTCCCCTCCCCTTGTCGTTCTTCTCGATTCATCCTCCTCATCCTTCTCCCCTCATCTCGATCTTTCTCTGCCTTGTTGATCTCGGCATCGCCAGATCTCCCGCCACTTTCTTGCCTTTTGGCCTTTTCTCTTCTGGCATCACGCTCATTATCACCTACTTTGTGTCCAAATTGTTATCTTCCCTTCGTCATCTTGACAAGCAGGATCACCACTTCGGCATCCAGTTGCTGACTCCAAGATGCGTCTCAACGCGTCTTTGGGCGTGCTCTCCGGCATAGCCTGGACAACATCCGGTGCTGTTGTCCCTCGCAAGTGAGTCCTTTTCCATTTGATCCCATTGTCCGTTTTCACGTTGCTGACTTTGTCTCTTTCACAGCCTCGATTACGATATCGACACAACTTGCACGACCACTGAGACTGCCCAGGGCACTGTCTTCGTCACTGGCCCTGGCGGCAACTCTCCGACTGCCGCGGCCGGTTCGGTCTTCACTCTCACGGTTCCTGTTGGCGGTTCTGATCCTGGTGCCGGGTCTCCCGGTTCATTCGGCTCACCTTCTGGTTCTGACAACAATGGTCTTCTTTCTTCCATCTGCACCACTGGGCCTTCTCCCTTCGGTTCTCCCTTCGGCTCTGTTGGCACTCTCTCGCCTCTCACCATCACTGTCACGGCTCTCTCAACTCCATCCATGAGCACAGTCACCATCCCAGTATCAACCGTCACCATCAATACACCTGGGGCTGGTTCCGGTGCTGGCGGCAACGGAAACGGAAACGGAAACGGAAACGGCAACGGCAACTCCCCCGGTTCAGTCATCACAGTCACTGCTCCCCAAGCATCTGCCAGCCCAGCTTACCCAGGGTACCCGGGTTCCGGCATCACAGTCACCATCCCCGTCGGCTCAGGCTCAGGCTCAGGCTCAGGCTCAGGCTCCGGTTCCTCTCCAGCTGGAGTCACTGTCACTGTCCCTCAAGTATCTGGGCAGGCTGGTGAAGTCGTCACTCTCACAATACCAGAAGGTCCCAACCAGTCGGCCACTGTTGTGCTCACTGTCACCATTCCCGACGTTGCAGACAGTCCTGGGTCATGGTCTACCATCGTCTCAGCTCCTGGCCTCGATGGCGCGGCATCTGGTTCGCTTGTCACTGTCATTGGCGGTCCATCGGCTGGTCCACAAGTGCCTGGAAGTCTCCTTTCTTCGACATGCACCGACGCTCTCACAGCCGGACCTGGTGGCTCGGGCAACGCTGGTTCCGGCAACACCATCACTGTCCCTTTGCCTGCGACCGCCTCAGAGTCCTACCCACCATTCTTCGGTAGCCCCACTCCTCTCGTGATCACTTACACGATTCCTGCCGAGCCTGGCATGCCCACTCCTCTTGTCGAGACTCTCACTGTGGCACCCAACCTCCCCTACCCATCTGGCGACCCGAGCTCTCCATACGGAGCGACTGATCTGACTATCCCACTTGGTCCTTTTGGTGTTCCACTTTCCAGCTCTGTCCCTTCGGGTCTCACCTTGGTCACATACACCGTCCCCGCTGATGGCGACTCTCCTGCCTACACTGGCGTCTATACTTTGACACCTGGCGCCGGCTCGTCTCCTGGACAAGGCGGTCAGAATGGCGGCTCGCCCGTCACTGTCACTGTTCCGGAGGCCACTCAGCCCGGTCAGAACGGCGGGTCATCAGGCGAAACCGGCTATCCTCCTTATGGCGGCTCAGCTGCTTCTGCAGACAATGGATCACCCGGCGCTGTCACTTTGACTGTTCCCCAAGCTGGCGCTCCCACTCAGTCTTACCCTGGTCAGGATGCTGGTCAGTCAGGCCTCGGCTCCGGCAACCAAGCTCCCACAGTCACTCTCACGGTTCCTGCCGGTAGCACTCCGGGTTCAAGCTCGGGCGGCCAAGGCAGCGGTCCTGGTTACGACAACGGCCAGTCGACTTGTTTGACTCTGACAATCCCTGGAGCAAACTCTAATGGTCAGTCTAGCCTTTTGACTGTCACTGTTCCAGTTGGCTCTGGTTTCCCCGTCGGCGGTGCTCCTTCTGCGCCCTACAACGGCCCCTCCGGTCCAGTCACCGTCACCGCTTTCCCCTCTGCCGGCGGCTCGGGTTCTGGAAGCAGCCCGTCTGGCTCAGGCGACGACGATCAGTCGACTTGCCTGACTCTCACGCTTACTGAGCAACGGCCAGCCGAGTCTTATTACTGTCACCGTTCCAGTTACCTCCGCTTTCCCCAATGGTGGTTTCCCTTCAGCACCTTACAATGGCCCTTTGGCTCCGGTCACCGTCACAGTTCCGCCGACTCCTGATGCATCTGGTTTCGCCCCCGGAAGTGGCTCGTCTGGCTCAGGCGATGATGATCAGTCGACTTGCTTGACCCTCACGCTCACCGGCGCCAATGGCCAACCCAGCCTTGTCACTGTCACGGTTCCCGTGTCGGACTATCCCTCTGGTGCTTCTCCTTCTACCGTTGGCGGCGATGGTCCGTCCGGCGTCGTCACTGTTGTCGTTCCCGAAACCACTGGTTCCAGCGGTTCTTCTGGAAGCGGCTCATACGGCTCTGATGGCAATGGCTCATCTGGTGTCTTGACCGTCACTGTTCCTGGCAACTCCGGTTCCGGCTCTGGTTCGTCTGCGAGCGATCCTTTTGGCTACGGCGGCGGCAGTGATCAGCCTAGCGTGGTTGCCGTCACTGGACCTGCTGGTTCTCCATCTGCTGCTGGTGGCTCTCCCATTGCTGTCACTTACACTGCTCCTGCTGGACCAGGCGAGACCGAGTCGTCCTATCCTGTCACCTACACCATTCAGCCATCGTTGGGATCTGACTCAGGATCTGGTTCCGGATCTGGCTCATCTCCTTCAGGTAGCGGAGTCCCTGCTGGTTATGGAAGTGGTGGCAGCAACCCATTCGGATCTGGTTCCAACCCCACTGATTCCTCTGGATTTTCTCCAGTCACTGTCACTCTCGGCCCGTCTGATGGGTTCGCTACACCCGTGGTTGTCACCTACACTCCTGGTGTGACTGGATTCCCATCTGGTTCCTCGCCCACACCTTCCGTGGTTGTCGTTTCCGATTCGGGATCTCTCTTCACCATCACGCTTCCTGCATCCGGTTCCTCGCCTTTCGCAACCTCGCCTGCTTCGTCGGAGATTGTCGTCTCTGAGTTTGGGACTCTGTTCACCATCACGGTTCCTGCAACGGCACCGGCCGCTCAGCCTACTGCTGCCACCGGTTCTTCCATTGTTCCCGGATATGGCTCCGGTGCTGGCTCTGGTGCTGGCTCTGGTGCTGGTTCTGGTGCTGGTTCTCTTCCCAGTGGCCTCACGGTCTACACCATCACTCCCACTTCTGGCTCGCCTTATGTTGTCACTGTTCCTGTCGGCGGCGGCTCTGGCTCCAATCCATCCAACGTCTTGACTGTCACTGAGGGTCCATCACCCACTGGCTTTGGAACAGGGTCTGGATCTGGCAGCTCCCCTGACAATGGCGAGTTCACGATCACCATTGATGGCACCCCGGTCGTTGTTCCCCTTCCTCAGAGCAACGCTGGCACCAACGCCGGCCAAGGAGGGATTCTGACTGTCACTGAGGCATTGCCTTCTGGCTCACCATCAATCGTCACTGTTCCTGCCGGTGCCGGAGGTATCACCGCGCAGCCTTCTGCCACCCCATATGGCGGCTCGTTCCCAGGCGGAGAGGTCATCACTATCACCGGGCCTGATGGGTATCCTACTGTTCTCACAATCCCTGGCGGCGGCAACCCAGCAGCCACTCAGAACAGCCCATCCAATGTCTTGACGGTCACTGAGCAACTTCCTTCCAACGCTCCTGGTCAGAATGGCTCCGGTGGATCGGTCATCACTGTCACTGGACCTGACGGCTCACCCATCGTCGTCACCATCCCCTCCGGCGGCGACTCGGGAGCTTCGGCGCCTGTGTCTGGTCTTGGATCAGCTTTCACCCTCACCTTGACTCCCGGCAACGGGGGCAATGGCGGCTCTGGCTCAACTGCTGGTGTTCCTGGCATCTTGACTGTCACCGAACTTGCCCCCACGGCGACTGGAGGAGTCCAGCCCGGTGCCGGTGGATCTGGCTCTGCTTTCACCATCACTTTGTCTCCTGGCTCTGGCTTCCCTGGTTCCGGCTCTCCTGGTTCCGGTAGCGGCTCTCAAGGCAACGGACCTCAAGGCTACGGCTCACCTAACTCGCTTGGTCCCGTCTTGACCATCACTGAGGGCGGTGCTGCTCCTACCGGAGGTGTCCAACCTGGTGGAAATGGTGCTGGTCCTGCTTTTACTGTCACCTTGGCGCCTGGTAGCGGGCAAGGCAGTGGACCCCAAGGCTCTGGACAAGACAACGGTCCTCAGGGTAACGGTCAGGGTAACGGCGGGTTTGGCTCTGCTTTCACTGTCACCCTGTCTCCTGGCTCCGGTTCTCCCAACTCTGGCTCTCCTGGCTCAGGCTTCCCCGGCTCAGGCAGTGGATCTCCGGGCAATGGTCCCCAAGGTTACGGTTCACCCAACTTCCCCGGCAATGGCCAAGGCTCCGCGGACAGGGCAGTGGTCCTCAGGGTAATGGACAAGGCAATGACGGATCTGGCTCAGCTTTTACCGTCACCCTCTCTCCTGGCTCTGGATCTCCTGGCTCAGGCAGTGGATCTCAGGGCAATGGTCCTCAGGGCTATGGCTCACCAAACTCTGGCCTTGGTCCCATCTTGACTATCACTGACTCACCTTCCGGAGCTGCCGGTGGTCTGCAACCCGGTGCGACTGGCTTTGCCACTGCTCTCACCTTCACCATTCCATCAGGCTCTGGCAATGGTCCTTCTGGTTCAGGAAGTGGCCCATTCGGCTCAGGGAACGGACCCTTTGGTTCTGGTAATGGACCTTCCGGCTCTGGCAATGGTCCCTTTGGCTCCGGCAGTGGTCCTCAAGGAAGCGGGCAAGGAAGCAGTCCTCAAGGCTATGGCTCACCTAACGGTGGTGCCGGTTCCGGTTTCACCATCACTCAGGGCGGAGCTGGCGCGGCTCTACCCACGGGTCCTGTTTTGACCGTCTCGGAGGTTGTCGTCTCGGAAACCATCCCCATCGGCCCTGGTCTTTACTCGGTTGTCGCTTTCACCACTACTCTCGGTGCCGGCTCAGGCTCTGGCTCGGGTGCTGGTCCTGCCTCTGGTCCAAGCATTGTCACCATTGATCCCAATGGTTCTGGCAACGGTCTCAACTCTCCCTCTGCGATTGGTGGTGGTGCTTTTGCGACCACTTTGACTCTGGCACAGCCCTCCGCTGTGATTGCGACGGCACCTGCTCAAGGTCCTCAAGTCGTCACTGTTCTGCCTTCAATCTTCACTGTCTGGCCTCAGAACACTCTGGTCACCACCACCTCTTGCACAACCAGCAATGGCGGTGCCTTCTTTGACCCAGGTCAGAACGGTGGCTTTGGTCCCTCTCTTGTCACCTTGTGGCCGACATACTCGATCGACACCACTTGCACCGAGTCCTCGACCAGCTATGTCGACATCAGCGCTGTTGCACCCGCCTCGTCCTCGGAATCGTCCACTGTCTTGATGTTGAGCAGCTCAACCTTGGCTGTCATCAGCTCGGCGCCTTCCAGTGACTCGTCTACCGTCCTGATGCTGAGCAGTTCCACTCTTGCTGTGATTAGCTCTGCGGCCCCGACTCCCTCGGTTGTTGCTCCGGAGCCTGTCAGCACTGCATCCGCCGAGCAGGCCATCCCGACTTTGACTGCTGAGCCTGCCGCCTCTTCTGACGAGGGTCAAGCCATTCCCACGCTGACTGCCGAGCCTGTCGAACCCACCAGCGCCCCTGATAGTGACCAGCCCATTGAGCCTACCTCCGCCGGCGGTGATCAGAGCATTCCCATTGTGACTCCCGAGCCCACCGGCTCTTCGGATGAGCAGGCGATTCCCACGTTGTCGTTTGATGCCCCGCCCGAGTCCTCTGCCGCTGAAGAGGTTCCTCCTCCCCAGACCGAGTTCGGCAAGGGTCACATTCACCCCCGTTCTGCGCAGATTACCGTTTCTGCTTTCTCTCTGAGCGTCTCTACCGCATCAGTTCCTGTCGATACCAATGCAGTGTCTTCAGTCGTTTCCACCCCTTCTTCGGTAGCGTCTGTGTCGACCTCTACGGAATAGAGTACTGGTACCAAACATTGCCACTACTCCTCAAAAGCCTTGGGGTGTTTCTGAGGAAGTGAAGGCGAAGAAGGGTCTTCGTTGGTCTATCCGTCGCTGAAGGACTGAGATGTGTGCTTCACGACAGGTCGTTTGATCTTGATTCTAAGCGGTTCTGTCACTCTTTCGTTTCATTTGTTCCGCTTGGGAATTGTGTTAATATGTCGAATACCATTTGCATGTTTTTACGGCTTGTTGTTCCGCCCTAGGGATGAGGTCACAGTCGTGGGATTTCTTGGTGAATTGGTGGTCAGATAGAATTGTGTTTACAAAAAGGCTTGATCTTTACGGCGTGGTCATGTATTGAGAGGTGTGGAAGAGTCGAGTCGATGAGGAGTCGGGATCTTCAAAAGTAATAGGGGAGCAGATCTGTCACTCTCTGTACAATTTTGGCCATATTCTCACTGACAGCTATAATTCCAAATGTTGTCATGGGAAACTTCTTGCCGCTGTGTTTCATGCCGTTCTTCACGGTGACATGCTTGTGACGCATGCTAACCACCTGACATGAAATCGTTCGTGATGACAAGAGGCATTAGCGACTACGTACCCCATCTTTGATCATGTCTTTTGGTCATTGTGTGCTTCACAAGCCAAACACGTCAACCTTTGGTCGCGGTCACTGCTCTATTATCCCGAAGTTTAACTCCACGCCTAGCCACTGGCTTCGTCGGGGGAACGCATAATTCATACCCAGGTAAGTTTATATCTTGTCCATCATTCTCAACAATGAAGGAACATGCACTCACAATTCTCCAGCTGAAGACCAGATGCCAAAATCAGGCAGCTTTCACCATGTCAAACCGCGCAATTGAACGCAAGCCTGTGCCCTCGTCTGTGAGTGATGTGCCTCTTCCACCACAGAAGTCCCAGAAACGAGTTTATTTCGAGTCTAAAAGAGGACCCTCGGCCGTTCCTCCCACGATCCCTCCCATAGCTATCACCAGTCCGCTCCGTTCGCCATCCCCGGCCACGCTTCAAAGACCACCAACTCCAACCGAGTACTTTGACATCCCATGTCCACCCGACACTTTTGACCCGGATGGCGATGTGCTTGCTTTAAACATCCCCAGCACACCTGTTAGCCCGAACCCTGAGCCGAACATTACTCTTCCCACCGCTGCAACAGAAACAAACGCCGAAATCCGAGCATGAAATAACCACATGTTCGCAGCAGCCGCCAATCTTTCCAACGGCCTAACCCAACTCGAGATTTGCCTAGGCGGCGTCGATCTGATCCCTGGTCTCCGGCAACAAGCATCCATCTCTCGCCTTGAATGCCAAGCCTTTTACAACTTCATCGACAAAGAACTCTTTCTCGCGGAACAGATTCCCATCTTCGCTGCTCGAGTACACGCCCTAGTATCCAGAACGGAGGAGTGCAACCTTCGCGTTCCGTGCGTACAGGTCCTCAACACCAGTATTTGTATAGGCGGTGGGAAAGACGGGAAGGAGACGGTGAGATAGGAAGTGGGCGAAAAGGATGGTCCTCCATCGTGGAGGGATATGGCGCTTGGAGCCGGGATTCTGGGATGGGTGAGGAGACGGATGAGAGTATATGCTGGACCTGGGAGACAAAAGGCTATGGAGGATGGAGTAGGTGGGAAGGTTAGGAGTGAGCAAGTGGGGCGCTTTGGGAGGATTTACTGGGGTGTTTGAAGGGGTTGATTGAGAGGCCTGAGGGGAGTGAGTGTGAGGATGAGGATGAGCTTGGGGAGGGATCAGGAACTCAGGATGTTGATGTGGTCGAAGGTGTTGAGGTGGGTGAGCTAGGAAGGAGTGAGGACAGTGAGGGTCGGGGTGCCGGTGGAACTGGGCGGATGGATGGGATAGGGAAGGGAAAAGGAGTGGCGAGGGAGTCCACTTGGAGATCGAGGAAGCCGGGTTTCTTGACGCTATGGCATGAGATGTTGAGACGGGACGATGTGGTCTTGAGGAAGAAGGAGGAGCTGGTGAAGATGATGAGGGAGGGGAGGGAGAGAATGGAGAGAGGGGAGTGTAGATGGTGTGGCGACAGGGATGCGGGACCGGGCCCGGGAGGTAGACCGGGAGGGTGGTTGAGGAGGTTGAGGGGGCGGTAATGTTACCCTGGGTACGGCTGTCGCGGATATCATCACTCTTGAAGATAAGCTGAGAAGAAGCTGAGAATTGGTCTGGGAAAAGCATGGCTCACGTGTTAGGAGCCTTGCGAGGCGACGGGAGAAAGAATGCCATTGTCTGATTGGGTGAGAATGGGGTAAGTGATGCATTAATGACACTTTTTGTTCGAAGAAGATGAATTGGCGAAAGAACAAAGACTGTTTGTTTGGACGTTCTATTTCAAGGACGGGTAGCGGAAAGAATGTTGAACAATGAAAGCTATGGATGTTTGCTTTGCCGGTCTGGTTGACCATGGAAGAAGTCAAAAGCAATGACTCCTCTTCTTTCCACTTTCCCGCATCCCTGGTTTTGAACGGCATATTGTTTTCTACTGTGGAAGGAAAGCCCGAAAGCTGAGAAGTTCACCGACATCAAAAATGTCCCACCGATACCCCGCCAACAGGAAGTACTACGACGACGACCGCGGCCAACCGCCTAGACCTCCGCGTTCACAAAGAGATCAACTGAACGACGACGACCGCCATACGGACAATCGCAGAGAACGTGATTACCCGTCTGCGAGATATTCATCAAGAGAAACTTCAAGCTATGGCTCAGTCCGACGCAACCATCCAGCAAGCCCATACTACGACAGAGACTACGACAGGTATTACTGCAGTAATAGAGACAGGGACAGGGAAGACTATGGCAGGGACATACCAGGAGACTACGACAGGCCGAGATCAGAATATGGCGGATCAAGAAGTGGCCGCAGAAGATCTCGATCACCACCTCCTCCCAATCCGCGAAGACACAACCAGATTATCAACAATCACCAACCAGGCGGTTTACGGTCTGGTAGATTAATGCCACCACAGAGAGAAAGGCAAGGTGGTCGTAATCACGATCGTGATCACGATGATTTGACGTCTGGTCGATTATCCCCGCTTCGCAGAGAATATCACAGCGATCGCGATACATCCACAAGATCTGGCAGGAATTCTCCAGCTCCGAGTATTACGAGTAACAGTGGGAGTTGGACACATGCATGTGCGCCGGCGGCAAGGACAGCACAAATGTCGCGGGCTCCTTCTCGGGTTCCTTCTCGAGCTTCTTCCCCAGCTCGAGGTTGGAAACCAGATGACCTGCGGGCCGGTAGATTATCCCCGCCACCGAGAGAGATAGATAGCGGTCCGGGTGATGCGAGCAGATCCGGAAGGACATCTCCAGCAGCAGCTTCTAGTACGACGAGTGGTAGCAGGACTCCGGCAGCAGCACCCGCGCCGGCAAGGACAGCACAGCCATCTCAGGCTCCGTCTCAGGCTCCGTCTTGGGTTCCTTCTCGGTCTCGTTCCTCGCTTCGAGCTCGTTACCCGATTCGTGCTCGCTCCCCGGTACGAGCTCTCCAACCAGATAATCTTCAGTCTGGTAGATTATCCCCACTGCCGAGGGAAGGGCAAAGTTCAAACAACAATTCCAGCTCCGACAGGACGGCGCCTGCTCCAAGTACGACCAGAGGCAGGGCGCCAGGACCAGCAAGAATAGCACAACTATCGCAAGCCCTGTCCCGAGCTACGTCCGGAGCTCCACCACAAACTCGGGCTCCGGCACCAGTTCAAGCTCCCGCACCAGCTCCAGCATCTCTTCCAGCTCCAGCATCCACTCCACGCCCGGATCCAGCACCTGCTCCCCGCCCAGCGCAAGCTCCCAGACCAGTTGCCCCAGCGCAAGATGCCAAACCAAAGGGCTCCCCACCCTCAACAAAAACCAAGAATACCCGAAACACATTTCACTTCCTCGAGCTCTCCCTCGTTGAAAATGCCCTGATCCCCGATTCACATATCCTCCTAGATCTCGGAAAATGCATGGATGAGTGCGAACAAGAAGATCCAGACACGCCTTGGGAAGAACAAGAAAAAGGGAAGAAATTTCTCAAGTGGTTCGAGGAGTATAGAAGTTCTGTTGCGACACTTAGGCCGACTGTGCCAGATGTCAAGTGTGGGAATCAAGTTGTGAGTACACTCCCGTCGTAGTTGAAAAGATGATGAAGGTGTGTTATGAAAGGGGTAGGTTGGGGGAAGGGAAAATGGAAGGGGGAAGAAAGATAAAAGGGATATAAGCTGACAACAGGAACAACAACTAGATGCGAGACCACGCCATGCTAGCAATGAAGGACATGATCAAAAAGGGGTTAACAAGGAGGAAGTTGTTCACCGAACTGTATCCTCTACCATCAAAAGACGATGATAAAGACAAGAAAGATTCGGCAGAACCAAAAGACAACCCGCAACCTCCGGAACCCAAACCAACAATCGACGTCCAAACAGACGTAATCTGTCTCCTCCGCCCACCCCTCTCCAAACGCCACTCCTACATAACCTTCGCCCCCTACCACCTTTCCTCTCCCTCAATATCCCCTTCCAACGTATTACTCACCATCTCCCCAGCCCTAACCAACCTCTCCGGCTCCCACCCCTTTACCCTAACCTCCGCCCTACCCGTTCTTTCAGATCTAAAACGCATCGCCTTCCTCTGGGACTCTTCCGCCCCTCCCAACGGCCCTGGTCCATTACCCGCTGACCTCGCCTTTTTGTTTCCGGGGAACTTACCCAGTTTAGAAACAATCTATATCTTGCATCCGGAGATCAGGCCTAGGAGTGAATGGTTCTGGGTATCTCCTGACTGCGACACTTTCCGCGGAGGAGAGGGGATGGGAAGTGAAGCGTTGTTTGTTGAGGTTCAGGAGGTAGATGTGGAGATGCAGGGGAATTGGAAGGGGGGGATGTGGGATATTTTGGGGGAGGAGAATGGTGCTGGTGGTGGTAGTGTTGGTGGTGGTGCAGGAAAAAGGGATGTGTGGGGACGGGGAGGAGGGGAAGTGAGGGTTAGTGAAGGGGTGAGGGATGCTTTGAGGGAGGTTAAAGCGCTTGAGACGATGTATAACGACGGGAAGGGGATAGGAGGAGTGAAGGTGAAGTTGATGGGTTGTATTCCTGTTAAGAATTGAGGAGAGAAATGGGGTGGAAGAATGGGTTGATCGGAACAGACAGGAACGGGTGCCCGCTTCCTCCATAGGACTTCCAAACTGACACTGACACGTTTGAGACCATGACGAGTAGCCTCAAGCTCTAGAAGAAAGGAAGATGAAGCAGACAACAGTGGAATGATGTGACTTCTTCAACATGGACGACTGAACACTCATAACCTTCGTGATTTTTCTTCCATATACCCCATGTACTTATTCATACTAGGTATCTTTGCTTCCTACCACCGTAACCCCGACGCAGACGCTCACTGAATGGCAATCTTGCAAGAGATAGACCCAAACTTTGTCTGCGGCACAATCATATCGTGATCATAATCAAAGTTCTCCCTCGTCGTATCCACCAGCCTTGCCCTAGGAATGACATGGAACGCCATCAGCGCAGCCATGATGTATACCTCGCAGTATGCCAGACTATGCACCCGTTAGCATTACATCATCATCTTCTGCTTCTCCTTCTCCTTCCACGAAGAAAAGGAGAAAGAAAGAAGGCGGAAAAAGGAAGGAAGGAGCAGAAAACTTACCTCTCACCAATACAAGCCCTCCCATGTCCCGCCTTTCCAAACGCCAACAGGTTTTTCTGCAACTTATAATCCGGCTTCACCATCATCTTGCCATCCCCATCTTTTTCAGTTACCAGCCAGCGCTCAGGCAAAAAATCATCCGGCTGCGGGAAAAGCTCCTCGTCCCAATGCTGAATCATACTCGTCATGCCCACGGGCGTTCCTCTCGGAATAACCCACTCCTTGTCGCCATTCTTCCTGTCCTTGAAGACCAAGTCTTCGGTACGTGCCACTCTTGCGCTCCGGTGCGAAACACCCGGCATCATCCGCAACGCTTCGTGCACGACGGCCCACATGTACGGTTTCTGCTCAAGGTCGGTCCATTTTATGGTTTCTGGGGATAGGGTGTTGAGGTCGGTCATCAGTCTGTCGTAGACTTGGGGTTTGGCGAGGAGCCAGAAAGTTATGGTCGTGAGGATAGCGGCTGTCGTTTCGGTTCCGGCAAGGAGGAAGTTGAACCCCTCACCTGAGAGCCAGTACATCTCCTCGTCCGTCAACTTCTTCTTGCCATTGTCAGACATACTGCGCATAATATCCGCAAAGATCCCCCCCTTTCCGTCCTTTGCTTCGTTGCCTAGCGCTTTGCGCAAGAAATCAGGAACCAAAACTTCCATCACTTCCATTACTTTCCGCACGTCCTCGCCCAGCAAGTTCTTGCGAGCCAAAAAGGGAAGAGCAGACGCGCTCTTGCGCATCAGCGTATTATTCCGCATCCCATAAGCAGCGCGCATGAAAGATGAAGTCCAAGTCGCAAAGTTCGGTTCCCACCCGTTTTCCTGGTCGACAAACCCCAGCGATTCGCCGAAACAGTATTGCGCTATGACGTCGGCTGTGAAGCAGTTGAATGCTTCTTTGACGTCTTGCACTTTGTTTTCGGTGGTGCTGGTGCCAATGCGAAGAAGTTTGTTGATAACCCGGCGGGAATGGTCGGTTACCTCCCCTTCTAGAAGCAACATTTGCGAGCGGGAAAAGAACTTGGATAGGGGCGCGCGCTTGAGACGGTGGAGCTCGTGCGAGACGGTGGAAAATCCGGTTACGGAAACGGGGCCGGCGCCGCCTGTGTTGAGCTGGTGTTGGGACTTGTCGCGGATGCGGAGGGAGGAGGAGGAGGGGTAGACTTCGTCTGCGAAGGAAGGGGTTGAGACGTGGATCTCATGGGGGGAGATGCGGATTATGGGGCCTGGAAGACGAGGGGGAGGTGTTAGCTTCTGTGAGTATATATGCAGGCGAAGAGTTGGGACTTGAGGGTAGAAGATAGAGTGTTGAAGAAGGAAGTAGAAGGTGCGAAAAGAGCACGGCATGAAAGGTCAGGCTATGCTCATTCTCAGAGCTGCTGCGAAGCCGCAGTCTTCCTGATTTTTTCTCTCCGTCTAGATTGACATACATCGAGCTCCCGACCTCTCTTCTCATGTCTCGTAGACAACGGGGGGCAAAGGATCATCGAACAAGTCATTCATTCTCATAAACTCACCATAAACCCGATGCATCTCCCTAATCCGATTCGTATACTGCCCCTCCAAAATCCAATCATACCAAGCTTCATAAAGGAACGTCGCCGCAGCGATCTTTGGTCCAGGGAACTTATAAAGCGGGTGAAAAGGCGAGATGTTGTAAAGAGCCAGCAAGACACGGTAGCTGAGCCAAATCACCAAAACGTTGAGGACTGATGAGGGCGAGAGGATGGCTTTGAGACTGAGTGGCGTGGGGAGGGAGTCTCCTCCTGTCGCGATGGTGGATTGGTCGTTGAGGTCCATGGTGATGGTGTCTGCCGACGCCATGTTGAACATGGACTGGACTGGACTGGTTGATGGGGAGACTGGAGGGTTTGGTCAAGGACAGAGGGGGGGAAGAAAGAACCAAGGTCCTTCAGGAAAAGGGTGGAAGGGGAGCCGGGCAGGACATGATGGCTTTGTATTTTTCCGATTTCCCATCTTCCTTCTTCCATCCTTTTCCTCCCTGTTCCCCTTCCTTTCTCCTTGTCATCTTCTCAATACCCCAAACCTCTTCCCTCTAATAAACCGGTGATCGACACTTACTCCCCTGTCCCCCTCTCCGAACCTCCTTTAGTGTCCGGTAGGGGTACACAGTAGCCTTATAGTGGAGTTTTTCTGGGGTTTCAAGGGTTGTAAGTACTGATGGTGCATCGAGAATGGATCTTGTAGGAAGGTTTTTGTGGAGGTGAGGATTCCCAAACTCCAAAAGGAGCAGGCAACCGTTCAACCGCCCAATACTATTGGTTGTTGAGCCCCGTTAGTTTGAAAACGAACAATTGCATGGCTCCATCACGGAACCGTTGAGGGTTTCCACTGTTTGAAGAACCTTATTTCTCACTTGCACCGCGCTAGGAAACGGGTGTGAGTCCGAGAATTGGCACGCTCAGCAACAAATCCAAGAACAGTATATCAGATTATGCCCGACAGGTCTGGCAAATGGGGACGATGGGGACAGCTTCCGGATGCTGATCTTGGTATGTCTTCTGCCTCGGCGCTGTGGTGCAGTCACAGCCAAGGACTGTAAGGATGGCCTAGAATGAAACGATGGATATGGCTTGGAGGGCTTGATAGGGAATAGTAGAAGCCGGCAGTTATGTGGTTCGCAAATGGCCTGCGAATGGTTTGAGAACGGAAGCGAGTTAACGGGCCTGCAAGAAACCGTGACAGGCATCTGACTGCGGAGTGGTGGTATCACAAAGGTACGCAATGGAGGGAAAGTGCAAGGTCAAAAAAAAGGTGTATTAAAACACGGTGGATTTCGTGCTTTATATCCAAGACCACATCTTTCTTACATCCCACTCACTCGTCCATTCTACCACCACCAATACCTCCTTTCCTTGAGAAGCTCTAAGCACTCAGCCCCCTCGCAACCCTGCTCGACTTAACACCGCACTTTCCACCAGGGGCATAAGTGCTGCCAACCTCACCCCACCTGATGTTAGAGAATGTGACCCTAGCATCAGGCTTGTTCTTGACAATCTCCTTGGGGTCGCCCTCAGTGGCGCTGCAAGGACCATTGCCCTCAGCATCCAACCAGTTCATGAAGCCCGAATCATCAGCCCAGATGCTGAAAACCAGCACCATGCCGCGACCGATGGCCTCGCCCATAGCCTTGAGTCCACCGCGCTGCATGGTGAAAGAAGCCGTCTTCTCGCAGAACTCGGTGCTCACAGAATCAGTGGAGAAGCCTTCCTCAACCTGGATGACGGCATTCTTAATCAGCTTGCCGTCCTGGTGATACAGGCGGCGGATCTCAACAAGGACGCCGTCCTCGCGGCCGTTGTCGGTCAGGAACTGGGTGGTGACGGTGAATTTCTTTGTGGAATCGACCTTCTTGTCGGAACCGCGGCCGTAGAAGTCTTCAACGCCCCATTTGTACTCGTTGAAGCCGCATCCCCACTTGTCGCAGACGCCGACAGGCTGGCCGCACTCGTCTTCGCCGGTGCACTTGTAGACTTGGGTGATGTTGCAGGGGTGGGGGACGAAGGTCTTGGCGGCGGAGTTGGACTCGAAGATGTCCATCTCGTTGCAGCAGGCGCCGTGGGTGTTGTTGACGTTGGCCTGGGATGTGAGTTAGAGAGTGCCTGGGTAGAAAGGAGGGAGTGGAGGGAAAAGGGTGTAAACAAACCTCGCCGTTGATGAAATCCAGCTTGAAGCACTGAGCGTCACAGTAGCCGGTACCATACTCGGCACCAGCGGGGTTGAGGTCACCACGTCCACCATCCATCAACATCTCGCTGAGGTAGAAGGCACCGTTCATGCCGCAGGGGAGGTGGCTGACATCGGCGTCGAAGGTGATCTCCTTGGCCAGGAGCTTGACGTCCTCATAGTTCTTGCCATCCTCGGCCATGAGGTAGGTACGGGGAGTGGTGGTCTTGTACTGGCCGGGGTTCGCCGGGTCGGGCATCCACTGGTTGAGAGTTAAGGCATCTCCCTCGGTCCTGATACCCCAGGAAGCATAGTCAACACCCTCGAGGGCGCAGTTGGCAGCGCAGGTCTCGGCGTCGGGGCACAGAGGACCGCCAACGATGCAGGGCGTGGAAGGGTCACCGATCTTGTGGAGGGGGCGCTGGAAGGCATCGATGGTGATCAAGGTATTGACGGTCTGGCAACCACCGGCGAGAGTGCACTTCTTGATGGGCAACTTGGGGTGAGACTCGGGGACGAAGGTGCCAATCTGCTGGGCAGAGGCGAGGGAGGCAGCAAGGCCGACGAGAAGGGTGAACTTCTGAACCATCTTGGGCATTATGTCGAGGGGGTTATGGAACGAGAGTAGGACGACACCGACGAGATGGATGCAGTCGAGGTGTGGACTCCATAATCATCGTGGTGGACAGACGATGCTATTTATTACGGCCGTTGAAGAGCAAGAAACTCAACCGGAATATCCAATATCTGGGGAATGACGGGTTGACAGCAGGCGGATACGACGTCAAGAAGCACCATTGACGTCTGTTCTCTGACTTGGCAACGTTCAGGCGGAATAGCAAACCGAATATGAGGTCTTGGGCTCGTGTTGTCCAGGGGCCGGTAGATGATAGTCGAAGATTTTGGTGATGGATGAGTGCCTTGAGACGGAGTGGCACCCCGAGATGCAGGTACACGAGATGATTACCAAGATCTTGGGTGAGGTCCATCAGGGAAGGATCGTGTTTGGACGTAGGAATGCAGTGTTGACAGTCGGAAGTGCGGGCCATCGTCCAGGACATCACAACGGCGAGCTTAGTTCCGAGAGCTTTGGATGCCATTTTCGGTAACTCTGAGCCGATAGATCATCTTGGCGAGCTCGGATGTTGGTTCCATGTCATTTCCCCCGCATTCCCTCTCAGTATTTTAATGAAGCTGTCAATATTTTTTGGAGAGATGGAGAAGTCGGCAATCCGGGGTAATGGAGTCGTCTTAAATGAGCATCGTCATGCGGATCTGGGCTTGATTTGGTGGAGTTGATTCAAGGCGAATCTTACAGCAACTTGACGTATAAGGCCATTACCGTCCGAATCATAGCGAGACAGGTGTTATGATACGGGATAGGAAGGGCTTGTATTTGGTCACTATATCCGCGACGTCGTCGTCGCCGATCCATTAAAACGTAGAATAAGGCCTACCCATGAGAAGCCCATGTTCTGGGTCATGTAGCCGATTGATTACACTCAATCTTGAGAGGCTACGAATTTGAAGCGCTCTAGTCATCGATCATCCTGAAATTCCCTTGCGTTTTTTTGTTCATTTCGAGACGGTGGTCATGTCCCGGTCCGTCCCATGATCGTGAGGGTCGTGGCCAAGGTGACATTTGGTTCATAGCAGTCGATTCACTAACAGGATTCGGTGTGGTTAACAGCATAATCTGTTAGTGCTTCATAGGCGCTACTCGCATTCGATGGGAGCGAGATCCCCTAACCGCCCTGGGAGAGAGGCCATGCGACTGGAAAAAATGATGGCGATAACTCAATTTGCTGTAATCAATTGATCAAAAGAAATCTCAGTAGCCACCACGGAGCAAGACTGGAGTTTTGCTGGAGGGAGGAAGACATGACGGCTGTGATAGCAGTTGGCAGTGTTGTTGAGTTGCGAAAGTGAAAATGAAGGTCATCGCTGGATCGTTGGAACTGAAGATTGCCGTTGGGCAATTGAGTTCAGCCAAGCCACTTCCCTAGCCTTAATTGCTGTGGCCTAGGCTGTAACAGTCATTGCTTGTTTGCTTGTATATAGTATCAGTGTTAACAACAAGCTGCCAAACAAGGCACGAATGCTAACATTCAGGTACATGTGCAGTAGATGTCCATCCGTCGTCAAGTCGTACCCCAATTCAACTTTCTTCTTTTCCTCTTCCCCTCATCACCACTCGACAACCATTCGTGAACACCCATCCATTGCACATCTCCATCCGTGTCACGAGCTCTCCGAAACCGATCTGGCGTTCTTTTGGACCACACTTTTCGATTTTTTCCCTGCATTCGCGAATATTTCTGGCTCCTGCATTTGGACCATTGGACGTCCTGAACCGCGATCAAGCTCAAGGCCAGAAGTCTGGAATCGTTAATGCGATGCACGTTCTCCTTTTCATCGGAAACACTTCGGATCTTTCTCCTTCCGCTTGACCCTTGACTTTTATCACACTCACAAAGTTGAAAGTTCAACCAGTGGACATAGGGCCTACTTCATGACAGCATGCAAGATCTCTTAACACCAGCTTCTTCTCCATCACGACCTTCAATGATTGGGGACACCGATCGTCAAATCCATGGATAACCAGCGTGGGGTAGTTCTCAAGGCAGCCAGTCCTCACAGCATTGGTCAATTGAGTTGACTTGCCTCCTTCTTAGACTCTGGACAATGCATAGCTTACACCCTCTTTGGTCGTCCATGATACTTTGCCGGCATTAGTAGCCACACCATCCCAAAGACGATGGTTCCTGACACGATATACTGCGGCCAACCCCGGATCGATAGCCAAACGTAAAGAACATACTAATATCACCGGAATGCGTCGTGTAGGTATTTGTGAGCTCTTCTTCTCTTTTGTCCTTTCTCTTCCTTTTGGGCGTTTGGTCCTCTGCTTGTTTCACCGGAAACAGAAAGGGCTGAGAGCAAAAGGCATAATGACGGCGACAGAGGAAACGAAGACGACGGGGAGACACCTTGCGCACAGGTAAATCTTGACTCCCCTGCCGTACCACGCATCCTTTTATCTCTTCTCATGATGGATTAAGCTTTGAGTACCCCTGCTGACTTACGTGGAAGCCACGCGAAGGAGGGAAACATTCAGGGCACCGTCAATCTGCAAGCTGTCGGTTAGTGATATCCTTCTCATGATGCTGTTGAGGTTGTTGTTTGCTAACTGCCCTGATGATATCAGAGGGCGATGACACAGCTTGTGGACAGGCACTGTTTCCAGTGCCAGCCAACGGCCCCAATGATCCTCTACAGGTAGGTACGCGAGGGACACTCCCTTCAGCTACAGCTACCGATGATGGAGACATTGAAACTGGACTGACCAAGACCGTTTATCCAGTGGAGTCAAACCCGCAAGATCCTCATCCTCGTCTGCTCTCTTTACTCCTTCTTCCTGAGTAACTCCGCGCTGCTCGGCCCATCCGTCTACATCGGCATCTACATACAAGAGTTTAGCATTACGCCTATTACAGCGAGTGATCTAGTCAGCTATGCCAACCTTGCTTTTGGGTTCAGTAGGACAACCCACCCTCTATCACATCTCCGTTTGAAGACATCATGCTGACGGATAACATAGGATCCCTCCTCATGGTACCGCTGTTCCACAAGATCGGCCAAAGACCAGTCATGCTATTCTCCCTCCTCCTAGTAAGTCGTCCCCCATCCACCCGCTTTACGCAAGAGTACACCTCCCAAGACGCACCAAAAACTTTGACGTACGCACCAATCCAACTCAGGTATACAATTCCCCGGCACAAAGCTTTATTTCGAGAGGAAAAAGCCATTAGGCTTGCTTTCTAGGCCTCAAAGATGATTTATTTAGATTTTATTCTATAATCTATACTCATTTGGGAAAGATAGTAGGGATATTAGTGTTAACACCGCTTAACCTCCTTTTGTTACACTTTTGCTCAAGAAACCATTTACCGTTTAGAAAAGAAATTGTATAGGGTGATTTCTACAAGCATTATTTATTAATAATACTGTTTTTTAAGTTCCAACTTCTCATTTAACGTGTGGTGTAGATGTTTGGTCGGAATTTTGGTGCGTCTCGGGAAGTTTTCTCTTACGCAAAGCTAACAAAACCCAGTACTGCGCCGGCCTAATAGGTTGCGCCAAATCCACCACCTACGACTCCTTGATGGCCTGCCGAGTAATCCACTGTTTCGGCGCCTCAGTCTGCGAAGCCCTCCCCGTGCAACTCGTCAATGACATCTTTTACCTTCACGAACGGGGAAAGCGCCTCGGCATTTACACCGTCTGTCTTTGCGCCGGCGCCACTGGCCCTTTGTTTGCGGGGTACATGCTCGACGGTGGCCTCTCATGGCGGTTATTCTTCTACGTTGAGTTTGTGTTTGCTTGGGCGTTGTTTATCCTCGCGTTTTGCGTGGTTGAGGAGACAGCTTATCATCGGAAGACACCGCAGGGGGCGCAGATAGCGAGGAGAAGTGAGGCGTCGTTAGATGAGAAGGAGGTGGTGAGGGGAGAGCTGGTGGTGACCGCATCTGGCTCTGAGGACCTGCTTCCACCGCGTAAGAGGTTTGTGTAAACGCTTAAGTTCTGGCGAGTTTGGGAGAAAGACAGCCAGTTTTTCATGATGATTGCGAAGGTCGTTTACTTATTTCTTTATCCCGCATGTTTCTTTGGGGTTATTACTACTTACGGTTTAGTCTTCCCCTTTTTTTCCCTTTCACCTCTTCTTCCGTTCCTCCCACCAGACTAACCCCTTGCAAACAGTAATCTACATGGGCCTCGGCGCTCTAACATTCAACTTCATCTTCCCCCTCAAAATAACCTCCCCGCCCTACCTCTGGTGTCGAATCTCCTCCAGCCTTATCGCCCTTGGCTCTTTATCAGGCTACCTTTTGGCAATACCCTTCACCTCCTCCTCCGACCGTCTCGCCGCCTTTCTCACGCGCCGCAACTCCTCCATCCGCGAAGCCGAGATGCGCTTGGGAGTCCTCCTCCTCCGACCGTCTCGCCGCCTTTCTCATGCGCCGCAACTCCTCCATCCGCGAAGCCGAGATGCGCTTGGGATTCCTCCTCCCAGTAATGCTCATCGGCCCCGCCGGTCCTTGTACTATTCGGCTTCGCAGCCGAGTGCAACCTCCATTGGTTTTCTTACTTCGCTGGCAGCGCAATGACTACATTCTCGGGGTACTTCTGCTTTTACGTTTGTGTTAGCGTATAGCATTGATAGTTTTACGAGTAATGTCAGTAAGGTGCTGATTTGTATGAATCTCGGGAAGCAGGCTATTAGCTTTGGGATGGGATTGAAGCTGTTGGATTGGGTTACCCAAAAGGGGTATGCGGTGATGATTGCGGGGGTTTTTGGCGGGTTGTTGTTGGTGAATAATTTGGCTGTGGTTGGGTTTTTGGTTTGGAGGAAGAGATTGAGGAGAAGGATGGCGGGGAGTTGGTTGGGGAGGGTTCATGGGGAGAGTGTAAAGGGGGAGGTGGCGACGCATTGAAGAGGTGAATGGGGATGGGCGTTAGGAATGGTTTGATTTGGCCTGGTTGAGGAAGAGGAAGTGGAAGAAGTGGTCGAGACTTATCACTTCAATCCCAGGGTATGCATCCTTCCAGTTGCCAGTGGCGATGCTCTTTTGTAGTAATAAATAAAGAGCCGATGTCTCAATGGAAGTTCGAAATTATCCACATATCGCAGTTCTTGTCCCGTTCACTGACCATGGACGAATATTATGATGATGGGCTTTATACAATAGCAACTCCTTGCACAATCACCTCACCACTGTTTGAACGACGTGAGCATATGACGGTCGAGCGTTCCGAGTGTTGGCGCTGTGGTTCGGCCCCAAGACACCAGACGAACGATCATCCATCGATGGACAGTATCTTCAGACGCAGCGGGTTTATCCACATATCGCACTTCATATATCCGGGTTTAACGCTGAGATATCGTACTGCCGTTGCCACACTTCATCGCGCTGACAATCATCCCGTCCGTGATTGCAATTATAAGTTGCAGCAGCAGCATCATGACCGTTCCGTGCCGCCAATGTCACCTGCGAGCCGAGATCCCCGATGTTTAGAGGCAGACATGAGCTGCTGAGCACTAGTTCTAGGGAGACAGATTGCATATCTTCCTCCACCTCTCCCTTGCAACCATTCACATGGACGTCCATATTGACAGCCCATTGTTAAGGTATCTTCTCGTAGTCATTATCGTCCCAAACGCACCCTTCACTGTTCACATCTCCTGCAATACCTTGAGTGTCTGACAGGATGCGATACCTCAAAGCAACCCCCATCCTCGCCGCCATGGCGTTTGCCCCCCTCCAAATGTGCTACTTCCCAAGAAACAATACTCAACCCAAATACTCGACCTGAATGGCCAACAGCATTATATCCCGTAACCTCTCCTCGTCCGCCACGCGGTACTACGACCAAGCAACTTTCTACCGCTCTCTTGAAACCATCTACAACTCCTCCTCCTCTTCCCCTTCCACCCAGCAATATCTCGACCACGTAACAACCCAAATCTCCACCCTCTTCACCCCCAACGGCACCTCTATATCCTGGGACCACGCAGACCACCAGCTAGATAACATCCGCATCGCCTCTTCCATCCTCTTCCTTTACACCCAAACGCCAGCCCAAGAGAGCGGCGCAACCAAAACCAAACCAAGTACCGCGCCGCACTCGACTTTTGTTCGACCAACTGGTAAACAAGCAGAAGAGAAACCCAGAAGGCGGTTTCTGGCACATAAAGACCCTAAATACCCTGATCAGATGTGGTTAGACGGCCTACTCTATACACAGCTGAGCCGTTTTATGCCGCTTACACATCCCTGTTCCTTTCCCCCTTCGAGCTCCGGTATTGCCACGGCAGCAAAGAAAAGCTGGGACAATATTTTGCGGCAGTTCAGTTTGGTGGAAGAGCATTGTCGAAACCAGACAAGCGGGTTGATGAAACATGGCTATGAAAGTAGCAAAAAAGCCGTTTGGGCTGACCCAGAAACCGGGGCGAGTCCGCTGACGTGGGTTAGAGCGCTGGGGTGGTATTTCATGGCTCTTGTTGATATTCTGGGTTGGCTCCCGGTTGAGCATGAGGGGTATGGGAAATTAATGGGATGGGCGAGGCAGCTGGCGAAGGCGTTGAGGGAGACGCAAGATGGAGAAACGGGCGGGTGGTGGTTAGTTATGGATGGCGAATTCGGTGGTGAGAAAGGAAAAGAAAAGGGAATTATGTGGAGAGTAGTGGGATTGCGATGTATGTTTATGGATTGTTAAAGGGGGTGCGGATGGGTTATTTGGAGGATGGGTATAGGGATGTGGCAATGAAGGCGTGTGACGGATTGGTGGAAAGATTTGTGAAGGTTGTGAACGGGACAGGTGATGGACAGGAAGTGTTGAATTGGGAAGGGACGGTTAGGGTGGGGAGTTTAGATGGGAAGGGGGATTTTGAGGTGAGTTACTTCGATCTTTCTCTGCGGTAACCTGGTGTTTCCGGTGATGGGACTTGGAAGAAAAGGTTGAAGAGAACGACATGTGCTGACAAAGTTGACAGTATTACACGGGCATCAATAGGGTTGAGAACTCGTTGTGGTTGGGGTTGGGCCGTTTATACTGGCCAGTGTTGAGTGTGAGATGTTGGGGGTTGGCGAGGCATGAGAAGCATTCATGGAAACTGCTTCCGTTTGGTGGGTATGGGCATCAAAGTTGATGAAGCAATGATGCAATGCGGTTTTAAGACCTTGCGCATGATTCTTCTTCCAAAGCTTAGAGCACCGCCCCTCCCACATCGTCATCATCGTCGTCCTCCTCATCCTCTTCATCTCCCTCCATGCCGTCATGGGTAAGCATACCGACCTCGTCTTCAACCGGAACCCCTTCACGCCGGGCATACCCCCGGAGGTCATCAACAGTAACTTTTTCGGGATCCAGTGATGCGACACTATCAACATCATTCATAATTCCCGGCGCCGGCTCCGCATCCGCTCGATGCACAACCACAGAGGCGTTCTCGGCCCAATCCGCTACCGTTCCTGCCCTCGTCCCAGCGTCTGTCTCGGTATGATTCTGCGTCCAGCGGTCATCGAGATGCATCGTAGCCGACCAAGTGTTCGAGTCTTCTTGTTTATAGTTCAGCGGGCGCTTTTTCTTGATAGCGTTAAACACTTCGGTCCTGACGCGCTGTAGAATCCGATCTAAAATGACCTGTCTCCTTTTGACGGCTTCGGAGTCATGGGAGTCGTAGACGTCTGGTAATCGCCATTTAGGGTACATGTTCCCGTGTGAAGGTCGAGCTTCGATGCCTGAGCGCGACTCTTCAAAGTAGTACTTGCACAGCTTGCAGGTAGGCTTGCTGCTACCGATATAAGGCCAAGAGTTGAAGAACATGGACGGATTAATTTCGCCTTTCCCGTGGTCTGTAAGGAGCCAATGGTGCAACAGCACTTCCGAGTGCACGGCCATGTCTGTGTTTGTATTGTAGGCCTCTACTAGCCTGTCGTCGAGATCGAGGAGCTGCAACTCTTCAACGAAGCGCTTGAAGATGGTTAGTAGTTTTTTGTTGGACGTCATGCGGCCTACGATGCTCTTGGCTGTGAAAGACTTGTTTCGTCGCGGAGCGTCTCGGACATTGCCTGAAAAAAGAACGAGGATTTCGATTTTGCTTTGGAAGAGCTGTGGCCACTCATCACGGGCTCGGAAGAAGTACTGTACCGAACCGTGGTAGGCCAGGATGCGCTGGGCGGTGTGTACCAGGTCAGACCAACATTCCATGCTGGTATGGCCTTTCATGGCGGTACGGCCGGCGTCGGAGCGGGCGACAAGAATATCTTTGAGTCGTTTGGAGGAGAAGGTGTTTGCCAGTTGATGGATGATGATTTTGCACGTTTTGTCGTCTGCCGTCGTTAGCTTTTGGTGGCTCGTACTGTATGTCACGGCTCACCGTCACTCTTGAAGGATGTGTGGCGGCACGCGTTGTTGGTGACTTACACTCTGCCTCGGGCGTCATATCCGTGTCCATGTAGTCCCCTAAGTCGAGCAAGTTCTGCAACCCTTTGGCGATCTCACGATCCTCCTCATTATCTTGGGCCAGACACTGCGTCAGACACAACTCTGCTTTGTTCTTCAATGACTTGAGGTAGAACCTCACTCTCGGCCGATTGAACCTCAGAACTATCTGTCTCAATTCCCTCTCGGCTGCATTTCTGCCCTTGGCGTCAGTCTTTGGCGGAGCACCGGCAACCTTTTGCAGAATCGTTCGCAGAAACAGCGAAGTGCGCTCAAGATGCTCATGCGTAGCTTGGTTGACGCCAAAGACGTAGGTCAACTTCGTTTCATCCGCCAACACATTGCTTTCATCGAGGATCATGATGGACGTCACCGTTTCCCCTCCCTTTCCCGATCACAGACATGAGCTAGTTTGTAAACGAAGGCGTGGAAGAGCTGTTTGGGATCCTTGTCTTCAACGGGCTTGGACCCGGACGGGATTGATGATGGTTCGCCGGCGATTCACTGAGTGCTTCTAGCAGCATGATAGGCTCGTAGAAACGGTGGAGGATTTTGGGTGCCAGCTCAACTAGCTTGCCTTGTTGGATTTCTGCGAATTGAATGGATACCATGGTTGGCGGCCGGGAGCGGAAGGGCAGTTCCAGCGATGGCGTGGGAAATGTGTTGTCCTTGGAACTTGGGGATACGATCTTCAATATCCCGGTTGCTCTTGCCGAAGTATGTGTGCCAGATCCTGATGTTCTGATGGTGGTTTTGGTGATTATGCGGGCAATGTGGCTGGCTGGTGTGGAAAAGCCGAACGGGCGTCGGCGGATTTGATGGATGATCTTTGGCAGAGTCAGCGCAATAACGGACAACAACCATCTGAGACATCTTTCCTGTCTTTCTTCCCGACCTTCCTTTTACCACGTTGGCTGTTTGGCTTGGTGTTTGGATATCAACACATGTCGTCAAGATAAGGCGTTAAAAAGCCGTCCAGATGTGGTTGAGATCAAACAATTGAATATTGGATGACATTCAGCATCGTTCCCGTCGGTCCATCCCCACCAACGGTGCCTCTCCATCAGCCACGCTGTCCAGTTTCGTGTTAGTGGATGAACCAATAATATCCGTTGAAACGGGACAGACAGAAACAAACCAACCCTAAGCAGACAGAAATATCCACAACAAACACGACACAAAGCCGCGCAGATGCGGGATGGTGCACATCGAGACCTACGGCGGGGACCGGTTCTGGAAATTGCAAACAAAGTCGAGACACGTCTTGTAAGACATTCGGGTGTGTAAATTGGTCGCTATTTGAGAGACGAATCAATTGAATCAACCGCTCGACAGTGTGATGGGTGACGACTGCCATCGAGGTCTTTTCCCCGCCGTTCCTCGGGTCTCTTTCCTCGGCGTGCTCGGGTCCTTTCATTGAAGCAGTTTCAAGTTGAAGAAAGGTTGGAGACAAGAGGTTTGTAACCAGTGGACGGAGCACTCGGCCCTAATTGTCCATTTCTGAAGTTTTCAGACCTGGAACGGCAGGCCATTCCTCTTCTTCATTTTCCCTGCTCTCAAGAAATCATTCCTCAGGGTTGGAATGGCTGCTCCTGCACGGACCATATCGCACAATATTGCATGCGAGATAACCGACCATCTGCGAGAGGCCCGAAGTCTCCACTTTTTCTTCACCTCTCAAGAGACGTCGTCCGTTTCTCGAGACCGCCGTCACTGTCCACTTGCGGGAGAGGCCGACAACCTCAAACAACACACTCGGCAGCACTTTTTCTCTGTTGACGTCTTTACGTTTCTGTCATTTTTTCTACCCAGGCCCCGGGGCGTCTTCTTTGCCAAGAGCTGTCAAGGTGGAACACTTAAAGGCCTCTCGCCTTGGTAGACTTCGATTGTTCCCCCTCCCCCTCTTCTCTTTTCTTACTCATGCCCCCATCAGACCTCTTTGTGCTGGGCAACGCCATTGAGCCATACGACAAGCGACATCACAAATCACACCTTGGTCACATCAATACCTACGCACACCCCGTGTTCGATCCGCTCATTGCGGACTCGGTCTGACGCCATGAACGGCAGCGTTTCACATGGAGATGGAGATGGGGTGATTCTGTGTATCGACCCCCGGCTGATCATGTTACCCTTGAATGGAGGTACTTGCCCCCGTTACCCTACCCACAACGGTGTCATGCAAGATCTAACAACAAGTTGCAGCGGTCCCCACGCCGAACTTCGTGGACCTGAATGACTGTAGTACTGTCGATGCGAACGGCTCGGCCCGTTCTCCATCTGTCGTCGAGTCACTATCCACTTCTTCCGGCTTCTCGTCGTACGCCGGAAGCTCGGCCAATAGTCCCTCTAGGGACGTCGGGTTCACCTCTCAAGAGCTGGAGCAACCCGAATTTCATGTGGCACACGTGCCCACCGCCCCGAGCGCTGGTGACACTATGCACAACATGGTAGCCACCGGCCACCACGGGACTCTCGAAGTGACGCCTGTGTCTTGGGACATGGGGAACCCCATGTCATCCAATGAGATTGCTCTCCAGAACGACTTCTTCGAGACGCTCAACCAAATGCAGTTCGATACGAGCCAGGGCCAAGACTTCGGCCTCAACACCATGCCTTCTATCCCCAACCCCTCAGCGATCATGATGCAGCGCAACGTCAATCCCAGCTCCGAGACATAGTGTAGGAGCCATTCTGAAAAGAAATCACAACAGCTGGTTTGGCCTTCGCCCCATGCCCATGGGTTGGCTACACCACACCTTGAGGGATTCTCATTGCAACAAAATCATGATCAGTTAGGGGGCGAGGGATATGTGTATGGTGGAGAGGAAGTTTTCATTTCTGTATATGAACAACAGCACCCACTGGACTCCACACTCTTTCAACAGCAGTCACTCATTGAATATCCGCTGTCCATCGACCACGAGTTACTCACGCAGGAACTTTACAACCAACAACTCACGCACGCTACACTGACAGCCACACCACAGGGGACAATGATGGTCCCCATGGCGCCTATAAACGGTGCCTGGCTATTGCCGTCTCACTACCCACCTTCTCAGGTGCCACTACCGTCTCAACTCCCACCAACACCGACTTCTCTCCCATCCCAATCCTCATCCCCAGTAACAATCCCACAAACCCCAATCTCCCCATCCACCAGCTACACGCTCTCGCCATCTCCATCCTCGTCATCTGCCCCATCCCCCTCCTCTTCAACCTCTTCCAACAGGCGACATCCCGCCAAAAAGCGCTGCCGAGCCGCCATCGACGATCCCGTGCGATACGGACACTGCAATTACAGGGGTCACTCCAAGGAGCTCAAGAAACACTACGGCACCACCCACAGCGAGTATGCAAAGAAAATCGGGCTGCCAGTGGACCCGATTGCCTGCCCCGCATGCGGGACGGAACTCAGGGCGGGCAGGAACGATTTCTTGAAGAGACATCAGACCCCTCCGAAAGGAAAGGAGACGTCGGCTTGTGAGAATAAACTCGCAGCGCTGAAGAGGCAAAAGGCAAGAAGATGAGGGGGGCTATGAGTGAGAGACAATTGGACCGAGTGTAAGGGTGGAGGGAGATAAGTGTAGGGCAAGGGACACGGTTTAGTATGGGTGGGAGGATGAAGTAGGATGAGGAGGGATGGGATCATGGGGGCAAAGGAACGGCGGCGGACTTTGCTGGAAGATGCGGTCTGCCGGCCTCCGGAACGGGTTTTCATGTGGCTCCTTGGTTTTCATGTTGTGTTCAGAGGTTCAGGATCAAAGGCCAAAGCGGTTATCTCTCGGTCTGCGGGTTTTCTGTTTCTTGGTTGAACACGTTGGTCAGTTGGATGGTATCAAAGTTTGTTTGTTTGTTTGTCATATTTGTTCATCGTTTACTTTCCTACTTGTTTTTGGTCTTCATGCTCTCTTACTTTCTGTCTGATAGGTAGTCCAAGTTCAGTCTGTTCAAACAACATTCAACGAACTGTTCACCGCACGATAGTATAGACGTTGAGATTCAAGTAGGCAAGCAGGAGACAGCTAAAGCGGGTTGGTTCCTGTTTCCATAGTTGCTTGTCAGCGTCTATGCTATCGTGCGGTGAACAGTTCGTTGAGTGTCACGACGGTTGCGGTTCGTCAAAAACCGAGAACCGCAACTGTCGACCGACATCTTACGAATTCACGACCATTTCATAGCTAGCCCGTCATCTACAAATTTACTTTTTTTTTACTCTGACCGGACTGAGCTCGTAATCAACTCCAAGCCTCGAGCCTCTTCCAGTTTACCATAACCCTCAACATCAGTCCGAACCCGGCCGGACCGGTCTTGGCGCGGAGTCCGGTCCTTCTTGAGCCAGCTGAAAACTACGGTACGGTGCGGACCGCCGATCCCGTTCGCTTCTTTGACATGTTCAGCTCCCTTTGAACTGCCGGTTCCCCCATTCCCTTTTGCGCCGTCACTCACCGTCACCCATCGTCGGTGTAATCGGCTCACCGCGTCACTGACTCATCGGTCACCGCATCACCGCATCATTGTAATCGCAAATCGAGACGGGATCGAAATTCTACAAAACCACATTCCCCGGTAGCACCGCATTTTCCAACCACTTCGGTTTCGCTTGCCCGGAGTCCGGAGTTCGTCAAGCCTTGTCAATCGAAGGGCAATCGAACGGGCATGACTCGAGCGCCTGGCATGACCGCAAATTCGCGGAAGGTTGAGAATGGCCATTTCGCTTGTGTTTAGTCCGTCCTCATGGCGGGCTCAAGCTCGCGGCCCTGACCTTGTAGCGACAATAGTGCCTTTTGGTGGTGTGTTCTCGTGCCAAACACCGCCAAAAGAGCGGAAAACAACGCCAAAAAAAACAACACCAGGAACAGCTGAAGACCACAAGATCCCGAAATACAAAGAGCCCCATTGCGCTCCATTCGCTCCATCGCAATCCATTCCATTCTCTCCAATGTGTATTTCATAGCGGAAAGCATTCCATTGTCATTTCGTGCCCTCATCGAAGCCCCGTTGAAGCCCCCACTGACCCGTTGAAAGTCCAGGTGCGAACCAGGACACAAACAACGATGAGCCTTGCAACTTACACCGCAACAGGGAGGGCATCCCGTCTCCGATAAAAGAAATGGAAATTCAAGCTTTTCGGATCCCCTTTTGATTTCCTGGGTCCTTTTTGAGGAGTTATCCAAAGGACCGGTGATGCCCAAGCCTTTTGGCGTCGTCGATCGATGTTGATTCTTGGACCCAAGACCCTGGAAAGCTAATGCGAATTGAGCCAAACTCGAGGAGAACGGAGCCAAACTGCCAAACTAAGGGCAAAGCGTCAGCCGCAAAGGTTCTCGATCAATTATTTGCACCATGAGCTAGCAAGCAAATGCAAATCATCATCATTATCGGTTTTGGAAACCAGTTTTGGAGTCGCTCATCGGACGGACTTCGGGGATCTGCATTTTGTTCAATCCTCCACCCATCGGTTTCTGGGCCCCAATCTTTTTCCATTTTGAAGTTTGGAGTCTCAATCTTCGAGTTTGATGTTTTTGTGTTGATGGTTGGGATATTTCTAATCTTCAAAGACCCTGAATTGGTGCGAGATGGAGCTACCTACTGCATAGAGATATGCACCCCTTCTGACTTTTACAACTCTCACCGTCCCAGTCTTGGGGCCCTATGGTAGTCCTTGACTTACACTTACTTAACCTTTGACCTTGAGCTATGTTGACCCAATTTGAGGCTCAGTCCGGGTCCTTGACCTTGACATTGCGGCTCATTTGGTCTTTGGGTCCTTCGCGCCGTTTGAGTCGTTTAAGTCCTTCAATTCAAGTTGGGGGTCACGGCAACCTGGCAGCCTGGCAACATGGCAGGAGGTCATCGGAAATGCCTCCACACTTGGAATTCCTGCCGCACACGCGAACAAAGGGAACGCCGTCGATGTGGGGCTCGTTGCTACCGGCCACTACGGCTTAGGCAATGATTACAACTCGTTGCATCTTATCGACTTGGGTGAGAATGGCAACCGACTGGTCGAGCACAATCTAGTGCAACTTTACCGTCAAAGCACCGGTTACATTAAACGGGATGTGGTCGGGGTACCTGGCCATACAGTAACATTGCAATTGCGGCTCGGCGGCACTTATATCAAGCATCCAGGTCTCATATCCACCGACCTGGTCAATATCCAATGAGCCTGGCAATACACGAAGCATGTAGAATTTACGAAATAGCCAGGTCTAGGATTGTCCAGATCATCTAAACCAAGTTTTTAGTTTTTTTTGGAGATTTGGCCGGATCGCGATCCCATTAGTGGCTTTTCTTCGATGAACACCGAATGAAGTTGAGCTCCCGACTCAAGTCTTATTCCAGAGACCGGTGATGCGGTTACTGGATCCGGACGACTCGGCCGGCCGGCCTCCCTCGGTCCGTATTTCAGTTTTCCAGTCGGATGTCGTTGCAGTCGGGTACTCGAGTCCAATGACAGTCCCAATGCCATTGACCCGTTCAGGGGCTATGCGGAAGGCTGGAATGTCTGGAATGTGTGGAAGCCTGTGAGTCTGAAACAGGAGACGCCGACGGAGTTTGGATGGTTTGAATGGTTTGAATGGGTGGTTTGAAAGGCAATTAATTGTCAAACTTGATCTCTAACACCATTCATCGGAAGAAAAGTGTCAACAGTGGATTGCGACAACAATTTGTCCGCAGTGCCGGAATGTCTGGAAAGCTGCATGCGAAGGATCACGATCCCATCGTCGGCAACGAAGCGAATAACGCACGTGACGTCACTTTTGATCTGCCGTGAGCTGAAAAAAGAAAGATCAAGAAATGTAAAGACTCCAAGACTCCAAGACTCCAGTATCTGGAACTACTGAACAATAGTTCAACGGGAACAGTGGACCCTACACTTTTCAGGGAATCGTGCAATTCAACAAGAGGATCAAGAAAAGCCGGCCTGCCATTTCGAGTGAGTGTTTCCGTTCGCATCGTGAAATCGTTGCGTACGAAGAAAGTGGAATTCCCAGCTTTTCCAGCCTTTCCAGCTCTCCCGCTTTCCCACGCTGACAGCCGAACGGATGCAAGTTGCGAAACCCGGAATCGCTCCCGGCTCCGGGCTCGTGTTGAGCAAGCAAGCCGAGCTGAACTGAACGATGGAGTCCGGCCATGGTGGAACTTTGTGAATTGTGGAGTCCGTCTCACTTTTGGGGCCCTTTTTTTTGGTCAGAAATGCACCAACTTCGGCAAATCAAAACATGTCCATGGTCCGTTCGATAGTGTCGACAGACGGCTCCACGGTTCGTCTGACGCGGCGGCGGGAGGAGTGGATTTTCATGAATCCATCCGTACCTGCATCCGCGAATCCAGCCGCCAATTCCGCATTTGCATCGTGTCTTGTGGTGTGCGCGGCGAATGTTCCCGCTTTTCATCCCATTCCAGTTTTATCCCGCTCTGCCGCTGTTGACGGTCGACGGCCGCTTGTCGGGTTTCATTCGGTGCTCGCGGCTTTGACGATTGGACTCAGCACCGCAACGCCGAAAATATCGTTCCCGGGCTTTGCTTTTTGCGAAGCGTGTCGGCGACCAGTAAAATCGCCAAAGAGGGCACTGGGGACGGCAGTGGGTAATAAATCGGCTGTGGCTGTGGGAGAGAGCGCCCCACACCCGGTGACCCGGCAGACGGCAGCCACCAACCGGTTTCCGGCAGC